GTTTTCTTTTTTTCTATTCACAGCAATAAAATTGTCAAGCTACACAGATGACATTGTTGGGGTCCCTATTTATGCCTTTTCTATAGAGGTGAAGGACTTTATATGGCGGTTACAAATTCGCCTACAGTGAGTACCTCCTCACAGACGTACACACTGAGTAGCAGAGGTGACACGTCGGTTGAGAGTGAAGACACATGAAGCAAGTTGAAAAAGTTACATACATGAACTGAGGCAAACTTTATATCACAAACTAAATCAAAGAATACTAGTACATCTCAAAAAAAGAGAACATGATGATAAAGTTTCATATATTTCACTTAAGAAAGTGAAAATGTAATTTTGATGATGATGGCTTATAGCTAATGAAATCAGAAATCCAGTATTCCTTTATATAACAATATTTAATTACGAATTTGAGCAAATTACTATTCAAACAGTACAAATACAGTGTATCTCTCAGTGTAGTTCAGTATCCACAACCACAGTCATGAGGAAGACTGCTGACCTGAAAGTTGCCAAAAAGACAATCAGTGACACCCTCCACAAGGAGACAGAGAAGGTCATTGCTGAAAAGGCAGCTGTTGGCAGAGTGTTGTATGAAAAAATATTAATGGAAAGTGGACTGAATGGAAAGTGTGGAAGGAAAAGGTGCACAAGCAACGGGGAGGACCGTAGCCTTGAGAGGATTGTCAAGAAAAGTGGATTCAAGACCTTGGGAGAGCTTCATAGGGAGCAGACTGAGGCTGGTGTCAATGCATCAAGAGCCACCAAGCACAGACATCTTCAGGAACGTATCTACAACTGTCGCATTCCTAATATCACTCCTGAACCAGAGGCAGCGTCAGAAGCATCATACCTGGGCAAAGGAGGGAGTAAAAAAAGGGACTGTTGCTCAGTGGAATTACACTCCACTAAGGATTCACAGCTCATATGTGGAGACAGTGTGTAGCTTTGAGTACCTGGGAGTGCACATTTCTGAGGATGTGTCACATTCCAAACACAGACAACCAGGTTAAGAAGGCAAGGCAGCGCCTTTATCACCTCAGACAGCTGAGGAAATTCAGAGTCTCTGAAGGTCCTGAGCACATTTTACCATGGAGTGGTGGAGAGCACGCTGACTGGGAACATCACCCAGTGGTACGGGACCAGCACTGCTCGCGACCGGAGAGCCCTACCAAGGGTGCTGAGGTCAGCAGAGTGTACCATGGGCACAGTGCTCCCTACCCTGGAGGACATCTAGACCAGGAGGAGCATGGTCAGGGCAAACAGGATCATGGAGGACCCACACCACCCCAGCAATGGACTATTTGAGTGGCTACGCTCTGGCTGGCGCCTGAGGGACATTAAGGCGAACACAGAGAGACTCAGGAAGAGCTTCTTTCCTCATGCTGTCAGGACTGTAAACCCTGAGCTCAGGTCAAAGTATAAAATGTTGCACCTCATCTGAATAAGCAACAATATGTAAATAACATGTCGGTCTATGCACACACACGCACTCACGCTCAAATGCAAAACAAGGAACACATGCACACAAACACTGGTGTTGGTCCACTGCATTTTATCAAGTTCAAAGTCAATGCAGCATCTAGCAGGAGATTTTAGAGCGTTTCATACTTCCATGTGCTGAAGGTTTTATGGAGATGCTGATTTCCTTTTCCAGCAGGACTTAGCACCTGGCCACAGTGCCAAAACTATGACTGAATAGTTCGCTGACCATTACATTACTGTGCTTGATTGCTCAACTCAACTGACCTGAACCCCACAGAACCAAATTTGGGGGAAGGACTGAAGACGAAAAACACCCGACCCAAAAATTTGGACGACCTGAAGGTTGCTATCAAATGACACCTAAGCCACTGGACACCCAACCGAGTATTGAGTGTATAAAAGAACATGCACATTTCGGTTATGAAAATGCACTTTTTCATTGATACTGGATTTTTGATTTTCATTAATTAAAAGCCATAATCAACAAATTTAAAACAAAAAAAAAAACGTTATGAAACATTATGAAAAGAAAAAAAAATCAGTGTTTTATTTTTGGAGATGCACTAATATAAACACAGTGGTCTACTGTTGCAGTGGTACTGTAAAATGATGAACTCCAAGTCTACTATAGGCTTACTACACCAGAGGCATTTGTGGAAGGACAGCAAGTAGCCATGTAAAAACAGAAAATAAAAGATTAAAGATACAAGGCAAGGATCAGTACAGTGAAAAGTTTGTCAGGGACCACTTACCAAGCACTGCTGACAGGGTTCTTGGTTTTGATTAAATTCTGGAGCTTTGGGAAAGTATTCCCTAAGCTTGGTCCAAACTTCAGAGGATACAAGCTTCCGTTCAGTCTCCAGAATACTCAGACCTCCTACAGTGGGAACATACAAATTAACTTATGGGAGCATATAAAACAGCAATGATAACAGTACACATTTAAAAAAATATATACTCCTTGTAACTCCAGTTTCAAAAGGTACTATTTAAATAAAGCTTATTAAAAATAATATAATTGTTTTCTTATTATTATTAGAAACTGTGTCATTGTCAAAAAGGTTTTACAATATCAGATGCTAGCAGTGAGAAATACCGTGGCTGCAGACGATGTCTTCATTGAAAGTCTTCATCTCATCCTCGGTGCCCTCTGAGAGCTCTGGGCCGAACTCTGAAATCAAAGAATTCACCGAGAATTATTACACTAGCAATCCAGAGGAATCTTGAGTTGATTTTAATACTAAAATACAAGGACACTAACCTGCACTGATTCAGTTGGGCCTGCTGTGAATAAGCCAGATTTCAAAATTACGTTTTATTTCCAAACTCCTTGAGAAGACTGTCACTCTACATCAGGGGTGCCCAATCCTGGTCCTCGAGAACCCCTATCCAGCATGTTTTAGATGTTTCCCTCTTCCAACACACCTGATTCAAATGATCAGGATCGTTATCAGGCTTCTGCAGAGCTTGATGATGAGCTGATCATTTGAATCAGGTGTGTTGGAAGAGGGAAACATCTAAAACATGCTGGATAGGGGCTCTCGAGGACCAGGATTGGGCACCCCTGCTCTACATCTTCTAAAAGTGTCAGCACCATCTATGAAGTCAGGTTTTAGACAGCATCACAGTACTGAGCTTAATTAGAGTGACAAACTGCTAAAGGACATCTGATTGTTGTGAATGTTCCATTCTTGTACTTGTGGTTGAGCTTCTGATACAGCTGATCACAAATTTAGAATGATGGCCTTCGATATTAGGTTCTTTTCGTTTGGTGAATCACCTTTGTTAGTGAACTGTGGAGTCCCTGAGGGCTTAATACTTGAGCCAATTTAATTTTCTCTATATATGCTACCACTCAGTCACATTATACATAAACACATAACTTCACTCCACTGCTATGCTGATGACATGCAGCTGTTTCTGCCAGTAAAGCCCATTGAGACTACAAACCTCTCCGATATCCAAGTCTGGCATGAAAAAGTATGCTAGCAACTTTTCCATAGCTGAACTCAGATAAAACTGAGATCGCTGACAATCTGCATTCTGGTATCCAGTCTTGTCTTAGTCCCTTCATCAGTTAATGTTAAGCCATATGTCAAGAACCTGAATGTGCTCCGAACTGTACAAAAAGCAAGGATGAGACTCCTATCAAAGAAAAACAGATTATAATGACTCTACACTGGCTACCTACTTTGTTGAAGGACTGACTTTATATTTTACTGATTATTTTTAAAGCCCTTAATGGCCTGTCCCCAGTATATCAGAACGACTGTCCTCTTACCAACTAGAAATTTCTCAGGAATAAACCTGGTTCCCACATCACATTTAAAGACGAAATGGGACACAGTGTTTGTCGTTCGGCCTCCTTGGTTGTGAAATGACCTGGCTGAGGAACTCTGCCTAACTACATAACTAGGGCGGCTGTGGCTCAGGTGGTAGAGCGGGTTGTCCACTGATTGCAAAGTTGGCGGTTCAGTCCCCTGCCCCTGTCAAAGTATCTTTGACAGGCACCCTGTATGGCAGCTTGGTGTGTGAATGTGTGTGAAAGGGTGAACGACAAACATTGTGAAGGTAGAAAAGCGCCATATAAGTAAAAATCATTTACCTTTGCCTTTTAAATCTCTTTTAAAGACTTATTTTTATGTTATGGCTTTTTTCTACATTTCCTTTGAATTTGTGCGTCTACTTTTGTTCTTGGCTGTTGAGTTACACTGTATCTCCTTCTTGATGTTGCACTTAAGTCTTACATTGCTCTATTTAAAGTTTAAATACACCCATTGGCGATATATTTTATAGTTCGTGTTTGATTTCATGGTTTTTAATCAACTATTGTTTTCATTTTTACTCCTCTTTTAGATGACTGTGTTTTATTGGGTATTTTTGTGATTGTTGTAAAGCACTTTGAAACACAGTTTTTAAAAGTGCTATACAAATAATCTTTAATATAATTATTACTATTATTATTTATAATATCAGTGTCTCAATTTCCTTTTCTAATATGACAAATACACAGCTACGTTAGCAGTGGGGCATCCATGGTTCCTAGAGAATGAACTCTGCTGACCCCTGACTGTAAACCCGTCAATTCTCTTTGAGCCCCTCAATAAAGTGGTGAGTTAAAGGGAAAATGAAGCACTCAGTCAAGTTAGCATAATTCAGTACATGTATTTCCACTCGGATCAGAAGATAGAAAAACAACCATAAAAAATGTAAGCATATAAAATGGAAAAGAAGATTTTGAGTCTTTTCTCCAAAGGGTGCTGCCATCTTGGAGTAGGACAACCAGTGACATCACAGGTGTGTCAGCTTCACAGGTTTAGAGACAAGATAGTAAAAGACAGACAATGAAAGACAGATAAGACAATGAAAGATGGAGACTGAGGAGCTACAGAAGGGAGGCCACTACTGCATTACTCCTGGATATAAGAATGGATTTTACAGGGTTAAAGCCAGGGGCGAAACAGTCCACTATCATAACCTGCTGCTGAAACCAAACAGTACTGATGCACCTCCGATGGGCTCCGACTCCAGGGTTTGTAGGGAACACTTTCTGGAGGAAGACTGCATTAAAGGGAAGGTGGTGGAGTCGGGCAAGCTAGTCGTTCCCCAGACCGACAAGCTAAAGCCTGACACTGTCGACTATGACGTTTGGTCTGCATTCACTGACACCTGTCACAGACACGCAGCTGTTTGATAAGAACATCACTGACAGCAATAAAGTTCAACACAACGCCTCTGAATGTGTCTCACTGACACATTTCACTGTGAACACCTGTTGTCCTCCAGCTGACAGATTTCCCTTGCATCTTAGCAGCATCACTGTTAACTGATGGAGGCTTTGTTTTATAATATGGCAGCTAAAATGACGTAAATAATGAGAATAATGAATGAAATGAAAAATACTTTATTTCAAATAAAAAAAATGAGCTACAACTATTCTAAAAACCCAGTCAGTAAGTATTGTAAACTCGTGTCATTTCATACCATAGACTCCACGTGATTCCTTTGCCAGAGCTCAGAGCTGATGCAAACCTCTAAAAATCGCTTCTTACCTTGAATTTACGTTTTCCAAAACCAAGACGATTCCCCCTAATTTTATGTCTAGCTTCATCATCAGGTCAATATGTAATTTTTAGCAATATTTTAGTTCACGAGCAAATACCTGCAAATCTAATGATGATCCTGATCATGTTAGCATTTAGCTCAAAAGCACGATTGTGCTCAAGTGCAGTTTATGGCATGGCTGTAGATTATTGATCTTATTACTTTTACAGTTTGTATTGTGCCATGTGATTTCCCATTACCTTTCCATAAGTACAATTTGTATACATATATACATTGTCATATTGATTTCAAATATAATAGATCATTCTTACTGACATATCAGCCCCAAGCCAAATGTATTTGATTTGTAGCGATACAATAAAAATCAGCAAATGTCATGAATGTAATTTGGCCATTTTCAGTTTTTAGTTTGGCTGACAGATTAAAAAATAAACTACAGGGGCCACAATGGATTAAAAGACACAGAGATATCAAATCACATTCATTCCCCCTACCTTTAATGTTGTTTGGGTGTGGTCCCTGTCCATTGGTCTGCCCATTGCTGTGTTTGGTTTCATGTTCATCCTCTTCCAGCTGTTCCAATGCCAGCTGCCTCCAGCTACGCAGAGATGCTTTGCCCGCCCAATAGCCCTCCCCACTGTGGCACAATCACACACACAAACACACAAATAATTAAACCGACAAACTTATCTACATTTGAGTGAAAGCACAACATTCCACTTCATCTACCTAACGCTTATTTTGAGTGTGTTTACCTGAGCGTTCGTTTAACCAGATTGGAGACTTCCTTGTAGTCTTCGTTGAGCTGGTTCTTTAGCCGAAGCACTCGGCATCGCTGGCTAACACACTCTCTACACAGAGACGAGGCTGAACAAACACACAAAAGTGGGGTATATAAAAATGTAGAAGATCAACATGATGGTTTTAGGATCAGTAAGAATTAACAACATAACCAGAGACTGACTGTGATTTGTATATAAAGTTTCCAGTCTGACAAAGAAGAGTATTTCCATCCCTGTTGTTGTTTTCCATCGTGAAGAAAATGACAACGCACAGGGCGGCTGTGGCTCAGAGCAGGTTATCCTCTATTCGCAAGGTTGGCAGTTTGATCTCTCCTCCACAGTTGAAGTGTAAGACACTGAACCTGAAGTTGTTCCCAATGCACCTTGCCATTGGTGTATGAATGTGTGTGAATGGGTGAATGAGAAACACATTGTAAAGCACTTTGAGTACCACTAAGGCAGAAAGGTGCTATATAAGTGCAGACTATTTACAGATAATGGAAAGAAGGACAAAGTTGCAGAAATGAGCTTTGGCTTCTACCCACACACTACTGAGTCAGACTAACGAGAAAATTATTTCTAACTTGATTCATTATCTTATGGTTGCAGACTATTTTTTACGCATGAGTTTATGGTCTCAATCACTAGTTACAAGTCTATTTCAATACAGCATGATGTTCATTTAGGAAATTATGGTCCCATTTACAGGAGAATACACAATAAAGCAAGGCGTGTTTTAGGGCAGACCAAATTCCAAAACTGAAGCTTTGCAACAGCAGTCCACAGACCATGGAGTAGCATCACAGTTGTATTATCCATCTTTAATACACAGTCTATGTTTGTAATCCGAGCTTCTGTGAGTCTCTCCTTTTGAAACTGTAACTTCCCACATCGCACATCTGAAGAATTTAAAAACAACACATATTATGCATGCTTTTTAAACTAATTTATGGACACTTTACATTTCATTTCAACTCAGTGTGAGAGTTTTTACCAATGTTTCCCTGCTGTGGACCAGAGCGGACCACATACCACCTATATAGACTTGAGGAAACTTGTATGAAACACACACAGCTAAGCAAAATCTAAATGAGTAAAGTGAAGGAAAGACAGGTGAGGTGAAGAGAACTTTAAACAAGCTAAAAACCATTGTCAGGGCCATTCAGTGCCAGCAGAAGCTCATTTTTGTGGCTTAATTATTGAACTGAATTTTAGAACAATAAATTGATCATTGTGATGGCTGTGTGAAAAGATGTCCTGATAAATTATTTGTTTTGCAGCTTGTGATTTGATAAGAGAGCAGGTCCCTGTGTTTGACTAACCATCCAGTCTTGGCCCTCCAGCGTAACGCTCGTAAAGAAGTTGTGCAGCTTGCAAGGAAACCCTCTTGGATTCTCCCACCTTGTCTGGGTGCAGTTTGCCATGAGAGCACAGGAAGAAAGAGCAGTCAATTTCTTTTGTGGCAGTGGAATCATCAAGCCACTTCTTCAGCCAGTCCAGGGGGATAAACTCATATTGCTCGCCTGTGGAGGGAAAGCACAAGAACACATCAAACATAGACAGACAAAACCAAGTAACATGTGACAACAGTTTGCTCTCTGTATGTTGTTGCTAACCTATCGATAGGCTTTATAAACAAATGCTCAGTGTGTGCTTTAAGTATGCATATAATTATGTTACACAATATCTAGATACATTATTTGCATATCGATAAAAATTACAATCACTTGTTGATTCAGCAGGGAGTTGTACTAGCAATATTACAACAGGCAGTGGAGCTGTTGTACAGTTTAACTAATCTCCTGCCACTACTGTCTGCACTTAAGTGTTCTGAACTGAAAATAATGACAAGCGTGTGGACCATGTAGTGTTTCTGCTAAGTTGGCTGTGAGTGATTAAGGAATGTTTTACCGACCGTCTCTTGCAGGTAAAAGCTCGTAGAGCTCCTTCACCTCTTCATGTTTGGCCTTGCCCTTATCCACGCTCTGTTTTCTCATGTCAGCCATCTCATTACACCACTCCTCAAATTTATGGTTGTCTTGGTCTACCAACCTCTGAAGGAAAGCTGGGAGCCAGGACAGAGAGGGAAAACCATCAGACAACACAGCACGCACCAGGTTGTGTTTTTTTTATTAAAACCTACTGAAATAAATAATGCAGCTTAACTGCTTAAAAGGTATGTTGCTGTTGTTACACACATGCAAAGCAATTTGTGACATTTGTACTACTCACCTGGCACCTCAACATTAGTCATAGAGGGATCTAAGCTCTTCTCTTCTTGGACCTTATACACAAGCATGTATGCATTTCTGGAGCAGTGGTAGCCTTTACTGCACTTCGGCTTTCTTGTCTGGGATTTCACTGTCTCAGCTATGGAGGAAGAAGACCAAGTAACAAGAGAAACAACTTTGACAAAGTGTTTACAGTTATACACATGATGCCGAGGTGGATAAAAGATAGTTCTCTTTAATTCTTTATAAGGACCATTGTCATGGTGACTTGAGCTTTTTAAAAAAACATATTGACTGCGATTAAAAATTTCAGCTAGTTTACAATATGATGTTTTCAATTGTAAAGAACATTAATGTGCATTAAAACAATACTGATTCCTAGAAAATAACATTAGATAGAGTATCTGGATTTCAGGAAGATGGAACTGTACAGCATCCATTTAACACAACTCACCAATGTCCTCCTCAATACCAAGCTGAAGCTTCTTGCCTTCCATCTTCTCGATTTCCTCATCATTGAATTTGTACCAGTCGCCAGTACGAGCATCCTTCACATGGGCTATGTAGTGGCCTGAGTAGGCACTGATTCCCCGATGGATCAGCACTGCACTCAGTTCATAAACACACTTCTGGTCTGGAGAAGGCAAAGCATACACAAACAACAGCATATAATAGAATTATCAGTAATAAATGTCTGCTCTTGCTGGGGGATGACATGTTGCATCATCAGGCAAGCAATGTTTGGCTCAGTAAATACTTGAAATTAAGCAAGCAGTGAATTCAAAGGACTTGGTCTTAGTTGTTAACATGAAAACATGCTGTGATTGTTGAGGGAAAGTGTGAGAATGAGATACAGTGAATAATACTTCTGATACCTTCTTTTCCTTCCAAGAAAGGTCCCATGTCCAGCTGCTCTGGAAAACTTATGAAAGTGTTGAGTTTTTTCTTGTGGCCTGTTTGTCTGAAGAAGATAAGACAGTTCAGTAAAGAATCTGTTCTTAAACTAGCTGGCACAAATGGCATCAGCATTTAAGTAACTAAAATTGGATTTATTTGGTTTTGTTATCATAAACAGAAACTAAACAAGCAACTATTTTGCCTTTCCACAGTCATGTTGCCTGTTTTACTAACGCCATGCCTGTTTACATATGGAAAGCAGTACAAAGTGATGGCTGACCTGTCAAAGACAAAGCGCATGAGCTGCAGGTTAAGGGTTGGAGGAAGGCTGTGCAGTCTGATCCTTCGGGTGGCATTCTGTTTACTCTGACAGCACTCACAGAAGTAGCGGTTCTCCCCATCCAACTTCTCCTCCTTTAAGGTGAGGCACAAGGTAACAATTAGGACAAGGACACAGAAATAGATGCATTACAAGATTATAAAAGACGCAGTAATTTAACACACAAATAAATAGAGTTCTAATTAAAACTGTACAGATTAATTGATCTGAAGTTGTTCTGTTATTACACATGTAAATAAACTGAATCGAAAATATTTTTAGCTTCCTCTTCTGTTAATGACTCACACTTTCTCATGATTATATTAAACACATGTTTTGTGGCATTCTTTCTTCACAGAAACTGAAAGAAACTCTGAAAGTGTGTCGACCAACATTTTGTGCGTCCAGTGCTGCCTTTTCTTCCTTTGTTGTGCCAATTACGCACACACACTGAGTTTGGTAAAGAATAAATTTACCTTTAAGAACTCTGTGACACACTCAGTGAGGTTCTTGTGGCCCTGGATGTTCAACTCCAGCTCATAGAATCTGGACGGCAGTGCAGATGATCGTCCACATTGGTTACACCTAGAAAACATAAGTCAAACCAAATGAACTGCATTTATATTAAATGCATGTATGGTCTAAAGTTAGTTTGTCAGAGCAGTTTTTAAAAAATGAGTTTAGTCCATTTTGTGCAGAAGAAGAGTCACATGGCGCATTAAATGCCCCCTTTGAAGTGAATGTGCACACAGTCTGAGGCAGAAAGCCTGAATTCACGAAGAAAGTTGAAAACCACCTTCGTGAGACTCGCTATGTCTGACTGGGGCTTTAGTTTTTGTTGAGCCGACTTCCACACAGAAAGTCTGACTATGTCAAACTTGCTTAGTAGTACAGCCTTCTGGTATCTACATTGCTCCACTGACATGACAACAACAAGCCTTGCATCTCCCTAAGGAATGTTAAATAAATGTCTGTTAAAGCTAATCTCACCTCTGACTAGTACCACGTCTGATCTAAGTGTGACACCGCCACAGTGTGACTTTAAAAGAAAAAATGCCCGTAAGAAAAAGAACAGAACATCTCTCTGAGCAACAGGAAAACTTCCCCTCTGCAAAAACCTCTCCCTGTCTTCCATATTATTGCATTCTGTGCCTGAGCCAAGTATATGACACAGTCTAAAAGGAACTTGTAAGAAATCCAAATGTAAATGTCCTTTATCCAAACAACTGTTCAGTTTTTATGTGAAAAACAGAAAGGCCAACCTATACAGTTGTCAGTTATGAGCCAAGGCCTGACCCCTCACTCACAATTGTGCATTTCTGTCAGGTTCCCAAGGTGACACACTAAGGCCTAATTTTTACATTAGCAAAGAAGAATTGTGCAACAAGTCATTCGAAATCAGGCAAAGAAGACAGTTTTGACATACAGTTAACACATTTTGTCTATCTGCACCTGACACTACTACCTGTAAAGTCAAACACGACATCGTACAGTAGATTGAATGTCACTGAGAACACTTGGCAGAGCTAGGGTTTGAATGAATAATACATTGTAAGGTGCTTTGGAAACCCTAAGGTCAAAAGATGCCATTGAAGTGTGGAGCATTTACTATTTACTACAGTGTCCTCCAACATTTTTCACAGCAGAGTTGTGTGAATGCTTCCTACCATGGATTAATGTTAGCAGCAGAAACACAGAGGCAGTTAAAGTAATGGTAAACGTAGGGATGCTGGTGTCTGTTGTGGCTATTGTAACAACAGCGGAGTCCAGCCACATTCTTGAAGAGTGTTTTGTAGCAGCATTTGCTAAATTGAGATGATTGCCACAAGACAGTTACAGAATTTGTGCTGTTCACCTGTGAATCAACGGCTGAGCAGATTTACTGAGATTAATGTTGAACTGCATGTTGGAACATGTTCCCTGATGCCCAACCCTAAATGAGGGTAACGACAGACTGCTTGGACACACCCTTTCTGAGCTAATGGTATCACACAGTTAACAAACTGATGCTGTAAAAAGACAGAAAAAAAACTTGTGTCAGGTTTAAGTACTGAGTGGCCTTACACAGTAACATAGGAGAACTGTCCACAGAACTGCAGCTGGATGACATTCTGCAGGTTTGGGTTCTTCTGCTTGGACAGTGTATCCTCCAACAAAGACAAGAACAGCTTTGAAAACTCCTGGGCATCCTGAAAAAAATCAAAGGTTTGAATTAAGTGCTGTGTAGCTAAACCAAGCCTATAATCATTAACGGCCTATTAAACCATTGTTCTTCTGTGGAATTCTGAAATCAGAAAACAAAAACTCTGGTAATTATTACAGAGTTTGGCAAATTGTAGGACTCTGAGTACTGGTAACTTCTGTTGGGTGGCACTTTTATAATCCTTACAAAAAGAAAATTTTCAACACAATTCTCAGAATGAGCAAAATCCACGAGGCTGGAACCCCAGTGAAATAAATAGTTATCTTTCAAACTGTGAAACCAGCTCTTGAGCTCTAAATTGAAGTAGTAGCTTTATGTCTGAATTTACCTGTTGTTGTCCTGTGTCCAGGCCCAGTGCTTTGACCAGCCCTGATGGGTCGATGTACTTTCTGTTGCTATTCTGCAGAAGAGCAAATAAATACTGCAGATGCTCACAGATGGACTGGGGCTCGTAATCTGGGAAAGAACAAAAACAAACAAACAAAAAAACACACACACAACACAGATATCTACTTGTGAGGACAACTGGCATTCATTACATCAAAAAGGTACATTGTCATGCAAGCCTCTGTCACACTTGTCATCACCAAAGTGACCTTTACGTTTGTCATATCATGTCAATCATGTGAAAATATCTGAGACAAACTCAAACTTGCCAACTCCCCCCAGCAACAAATGAATTAAAAAGCAATCTAGGATTTTCAGTTCAGTTGATGCAAAGTACAACTAAATCAAACTGGCAGGGGGTAACATTTTAGGTAATTGGTTTCATTTCTTCATGTATAAAATCTATCTGGACAAATTGTACATCAGTGAAGATTAACAATCTCTCAGTCTGGTTAAATATTTTTAAGTTAAGATTACTCTATTCTAGAAGGGCTTAAACCCAACTATAATCCTCTCAAAAGTGTAAATATTGCTTTATTCCTGATTTGGAGCCTTACGTATAAATGAATGCAAAAGAATCTCCGCTGTAATGACGATGGTGATGATTTGATGAATTCTACTTTTGACTTAGACTTCAACTCCACAACATCCCTAAATCCTTTTTGTAGACATGTTTCACTCATTTGTACTGAGGAAAGAAGAAAGCCCAAGTGTCTACTATTACAGCAGCGAAACCCCAGGATCATATGGCAAGCTGGTGGTATGTGCTCGACTTAGGGCAGGGGTGCCCAATCCTGGTCCTCAAGAGCCCTTATCCAGCATGCTTTAGATGTTTCCCTCTTCCAACACACCTGATTCAAATGATCAGCTCATCATCAAGCTCTGCAGAAGCCTGATAACAATCCTGATCATGTGAACCAGGTGTGTTGGAAGAGAGAAGCATCTAAAACACGCTGGATAGGGGCTCTCGAGGACCAGGATTGGGCACCCCTGACTTAAGATGTATGCACAACCAAGTATTAAAACAAAAGGCAAAAGTTGGCTGAACCATGCTGGCATAAATCACTGAAGAAGCAAGCATGAGGAAGCATCCCAGTATTAAGTTTGCTGTTATACCAGATTTATTGTTGTGTTCCTGTGCTCGCGAATTGTGGCATTGATAGAGGCTCCTACGCAGCTCCAGGTTGTGGAACCACACTTGCAGGAATGTGTTAACATAACATGTTGCACCAAGGTTGGTCAGGCCAACAAATGTGTTCTGGAAAGGGACAGAGACAGACAGAGAGAATGAGAGACATTGGATGAACTGGATTTTTAGAATACTTGACCTTGTGACTACCTAGAGGTAGTCCACCCACAAAAACAGGCAGTGTACTCAGGGACAAACAAAACAAAACAGGTGAGTAAATCATTTTCACTATGAAAGAAATACCTTGTCTCTACGTTCTGAATTTGGGTCATCAATATTGTGGAAAGCATTTTCATCGATCTCCCCCAGCCACGCCTGTTCACCAATACCCACAAGACAGTTAGGATTTCCTTTGCAGTTCCTCCTGGAAAAGCAAGTCACAATTATTAACCCTACTTCCACAATCAATTTCAGCAGTTGCAGTTTTGCACTTCAGCAAAATCAGAATCTGGTCTTCTGAGGTTTTGCAGACAAAGCAACGTAAATTTTGAAACGAGCCTTATATTAGTAGTTAGAAGCCCAAGCAAGCTAAAATTCAGCAACTGTAGGAATTAGTGATGATTATCGTGTATGTCTGAGCAAATCTGTGGCATGTCGAACTGACGAGGGAATCTTTATGACTTTTCACACAAAGTCTACAAATCTACCATACACGCTATGAAGACTTGTCCGCACACAAGGAAACAAAAACAGACGTTTGATGCAGATTAGCATCTCTGTGCGGGCCGGCCTTTACAGCCCTCTACGTAAACATCAAATATACTTTTAATACTGTTGTTTTTGTTCACACATGGCAGCGCAACAGAAGCACATTGATTTTAAAAAATGTTACCACTGTACCTGCAGGTTCCTCTCTTGCAGGCCGGAAGATTGATGCGATATGCTAGCTCGATATGTTCCTGCCTGATGTCTTCTGGTTTCACCGTTTCCACCCAACGCCAAGCCGCTTTCTCAAGCTGTACGCGGGGCGCCATAATCCTACGATGTAACGTTTACCGCAGTCAGATGTGTGATTCGAACAAATCAAGAAAGCAAATGATAAAAGTTCGCCAAGGTTTTCCCACGAATGCTAACATAGCCGGCTAGCAGGAGCTAAGTAAGTTCCTGTAGGTCATAGCCTAGTTCTTACGAAGCAACCTCCCGTTAGCTTTGTGGTGCTGCTTAACCTGACGAGCTAATGTTAGCTTTGTAGTGATCTCACTACTCTGTTGAAAAAAGCATATGAAAACACATCGTAACAACACATACTGCTGAAATACGATCAGTTAAAACACACAATATTTGCAGGATAACGTCAGAAGTAAGAACTAGACTCGTGCTAATGTTAGCTAGCTAGCTCCAATGTAGCTAGCCCGACCGGCAGTGTTAGCAATCATTTTAGCCTGTACTTTCTATTTAACGCTGTCTGACGCTAACGTAACGAGTTTATTGTGTTAAGGTCAAATATTATCGAACCTTTCATGCGTGCAGCTGCTTCACCTAAATATTTATGTATTTTCACATTTTATTCACGGTTTATTTTAGATTTAGCGCCCTTGCGTCAGTTTATAAATAAATTATTTCTCCGCTCAAAATCAACACGACGTCAATCAGTGACGCAGCGACGTCTCTGTCTTGTGAGTGGAGGAAGGAAGCGGAAGACGCGGACGCTGCGCTCAGAGGCCTCCTCTCTGTCCAGGGAACACGAGCCTCGCTTCCAAATTTGCTGTGTGTAGGCTCAGCAATAAAATAACATATTGTGTCAAACGTTCTGTTCACGTCTGACGTGTTTGTGTGAAGGACCAAAATATGCAGCATACATAAACATTACAGTGACAGAGAGCTGCCCAGCCTGCCCTGGTCTACTCTCAATTGGTTTTTATCATCCCACTGTTTTGTGTTGAACAGTTCCCCGATTTTACTCATTTTTCTCTTTCATTTTGTGGTTCTACTTCCTTTAATCTTGCCAATGAGTTTTACCGTGGCTATTCTGTTGAAATAGGTGTGTCATGTGTGTATACTTGAATTTCCTGTGATTCTGTTCACCCATCTCCAGGCTTTTATATACACCATTGCATGTTATTAACTTCTCATTTCTCCTTTAGTTTGTGCTTTGTCCTGTCTGCAGTTATTTGTGTCTGAGGACCTGCACAAATTTGATGTGTCTTTGGTCCCACCAACCTGTGGCTGCTTTCCTTGTCTTTCTCCCCTCCACTGTTGCCAGGTGCTGGCTGATAGGGAATCTTTGGATTTTTATGGTTTTTCAATGTATCAGTTTATAGGGTATTAACATGATTTTTTTAATTATTCAGATTTTTTTATTGTATATAATAGTGTACATTCTTAACCCTAACATTCAGGCTAGTGAGGATGTGTATTATGTGTAATATTTGAGGATTTTAACCTTAACATTAAAATTACCGAGGTTCATTTACATAATAAAGCTAGTCATCTCATCAGCAGCAGGACTCCCCAAAATGATGGGCTGGTCTCAGCGCAGAGTTCAACACAAGCATTATTGGAATAAACTGGCCAAATATTTGAAATAACGTCATTTTTTAATACTCTGTATGTTTAAACAACAGCTTGCATTTAGATAATACAAGGGTACTTCAGAAAGTTCTCGGCCTCACTTGGAAACAGGAGGTGTAACTCCATTTTTGGGGCATAACAATGTACTATAAAGCCTTATATCACTGTCCACAAAAACTCCAGTGTTTATCATTTTTTCTTTGCAAGGAGAGGAAGCTTTGAGCTGGAGTACTGTTGCTTCAGGACAATGCGCCCATTCACACATGCAGACTGTCTTGGGCCAACAGTTCAAAGCCACATTTGGCTGCTTCGAACACTCCCGCCTGTTCTGAGTGCATGTATTTTTGTCGACTGTTTACCGAAAACGGGAGTTACGCCCCTTTCTTGTGGGTGAGCCTGAGAACTTTTAGAAGTACCCTCATAGCTTGTTCATGTCCTGGTCTGCTCTCACATATTGACTGTATATTTTGTATATCCACATTCTGTATAAACACCAATCTAATGATGGTCACTAGTGATGCAGGCACATGGCATACTAGGAGTTTGTTTGCATTAGCTACTGACTGTTGGAATCTGCTCAGCTGTGCCCTGCCATTGAGAAACATATCTGGTACTGCAGTACCACATATCTTCTTACTGCTGCCGATATGAAACATGATCTAGTAGAGGGCTGCAACAACTGAAATCCTCTCCATATCTTTTGTGATATGTAAAAATGTAGAAAAGTGGAGATAATAGCACATTTCAAGGGTTGTGAGGAGAACACATAGTCACACAGAAATCATTACTCAAGCACTCCATTAGAGAGATGCTGTACCTGAAGAGCTGTTAGCCATATGGTTCAGCCATCTAAACATTGTGGCAAGTTTGCTGACTGTGAATGAGATAATCCGATGCAGTATTATCGCTGTGCTGCTTCAGTGGCCTCCGCTGTTCACTGCTACTCAGCACGTGTGTCCTTAAGGTGTATAAATTGAAAACGTGTTAGCTAGAGACAAACAGATGATTAAAATGACTCAACAGCAGACCCAGTTCTGATGGGATATTTCAAGAGAAGCATTACACAGAGCATTTAATCTAAACTAATACAGCCTGTCCTAAAACACCTGCTCATGATGTATGTACATGTTTCTTTTAGCTATAATGAGATCATCAGCCTTCTCTGCACCTCTTAATCAAGGTTTGATGTCTTATAAATTGTTATTATACCATTATATTATGTATCTGAAATGAACTGAGGAACACATGTAACATTTAGGAATCAACTTTGGTCCACTAAACACCACAGCCTCTTCTTTTACCAAATTGACTTTCTTGTATCACATTTATTGTATCAATGGTTATCAGGCACAAAAAGGGTTGTTATTTCCTTTTCATTATTTATTTTTTCTGATTCTAAACAGTAACATCAAAGCTGAATATTTGATGGATGGATGGTCTGTGGGAAATACGAATATTAGTAACATAATGAACAGACCTAGAAAAGGGTCAGCTAACATAGAGATGAAAATAATTAGTCAAATTACACTTTGGAGGAAAAAATAGAAATGAATGGATGACCATTTTTATTACCCAATAATATTTTGTCATTCTTCTGAACAAGTTACAGATCTTCGTTTGTTGGTTGTTCTTGAATATGAAGCCTGTTGCCCTTCGGTTTCACGTTATCGCTGAGATTATAAAAGCGTAGTGTCTGGACTGTTGTTCAGACACCTGAACGCAGCACGGAGCGGCACCGCATGAATGGACGAAGCTCCGCCTCCGCTCGTGGAGAGCAGCAGTCCACCTGAAGCAGCGAGCAGGGCAGACGCTCGGACACCTCCTCCCGGCCTCCGCAGGTAAAAAAAAAAACACCTTTATTACTCTTTAAAGACTAGAGGAAGGAATTTTGTTTTTCTTAAACATGTCTTCGAATGAATAGAATAGAAAAGAATGCCTTTATTGTCGCGGTGTAGCATACGTGCTGCTTTAGTTGGTGCGTGTAAAAAGTTTAAAAGTACAAAAACAGAATATTAAAATAATTAAAAAAGTAAGGAAGCAGGTAGAAATGTACACATATATACATACATATCTGTGTACAAAAAAATCTAAGTATAATGAGATGCATTTGTTCTTTGTATCCAAGAGCTGAATTTAATAACGAATCTTTAAAGTTGAACCCTTAGAGAAGCTAAACTCGTACATTTCAAACACAAACTGTCTTGTGCCCTGATTTCTATGCTGTCTGACGCCAAACTGCATTTATTAGCTTATGGTAGTTATACTTTCAATAGAAAGAAGTTTGCTTCATAAAACCCACTCTGGAGACACTCTTCACTACATAGATAGCATTTCATTTAACATAATGTCAGTTTTAAACATTCTAACTAATAATGTGTAGTGTTTTGGTTTGTGGAATTACTGGGGACACAAATCGCTATCTTAAGTGTGGCTCCATCGTTTTTTCATTTGCGTTCTCTCAGTTCAGAATTTCTAAACAAATGATGGAAGGATTCTGTTTTCCAGTGAGTAGCAGAGTATGAACAAAAGTTTTCATTTTTACTAAATTACAACTGACTAACTTTTATGGAATATATAGCAACATACAAAGTGGTTGTGAAACATTCTGTTGCTGCATTTTATTAAATGTTCCATTCAATAAATCTACACCTCATTGAAACGTTATTTTAGGATGTACTGCCTAATATCGATACGTTTCAACACATGTTTTTGGAAGGCCAGAGGTCACTGGCCTTAAAATGCCAGGATTACAAAACGACCCAATTTCTGTTCTGTCAGGGAATCAGCTGCTAATCTGTTCCTGCAGCAGACACAAAGAAGGAGCACAGGAGATGAGAAGAAGGGAGGGCAAGAGAGATGGCTGGGAAGATTAACTCACCACTGCTATTTACCTCTCTAATCCTCTGCTTTTTTGAATCTTGTGTAACTGATAGGGACAAATGGGCTTTACCCAGAGAGAACTGACCTCAGTCATGGACATGCAACTGTTTATGTAACCAGAACACAAGGGGAAGGTGGGGTCATATCTTAAAGGTTCATAGAACAGGGATGGACTTGAGGTCCTGATCCCAACATCCTCCACGAGAATGTGCCCAAAATTCTTTGTAGTTTTTTAATTAAGAAAAACGTTTAGTTCTTTAGCGATTCAACTGATCCTCACCCTGTCATTTCTATTTTGGTGTTGTGACAACGCCTTTTCAGATAACACACTTGCAAACACAGGTTAGAGGGCATAATTGAAACACATACCTCTTTGTCACAAGAAAAAAAACAATCATGCAGTTTGGCTGTTTCATAGTTTTATTATAGGTGTTGTAAGAACATCACAAAATCTGCTGGCTCAAAAATATTTGTTATACAGCAACTTCAATGATCAGTTTTGGTGATGTAGACAGTTGTGCTAATCAAACTTTCTTAGTGGCATGAGCTCTTAACTTCTCAAGAGTGATTATGACTCCTCTGAGCTCCTCTGAGCCAATTTAAACAGGGCCTATTTGATACACTCAGTAGACTTAACAGTAGAAAAGTCTGAGGAGCTCAGTGCAGATCTGAAAAAGCAAATCATTGACTTGAACATGTCAGGAAAGTCACTTGATCCCAAAATCATCTGTGCGAACAATTGTAAAAGTATAAGGTGCATGGTACAGTTGTGTCTATACCACGATCAGGAAGAAAATACAAACTATCACCTGCTGCTGAGAGACAGTTGGTCAGGATGGTCAAGAGTCAACCAAGAATCAGCAAAAAGCAGCTCTGCAATGAATCAGAAGCTGCAGGAACACAGCTGTCAGTGTCCACAGTCAAGTGTGTTCTACATCCACATGCTGTGTTTGTTTTATCTCCTATAAAATGTAAACAATTTATGCCATCTGTGCTTAAGGAGTCTACGGCAACGTCAGAGCCAAAATGGGGCGGAAGGAGATCATCTGCAGCTGGAAGAAGAGCACCAGTAACATCAAGGAAGTCTTTGACTTCAAGGGGAAAATGGGATCGTAAGTACTGCTGCTGAAAATAAAGACAAACAAGAGAAAGAGAAGGTGGCTCTGTGCTTAAAGGAGAGAAGGACGAGTGTAGCATACGACTGACAACGATCAATGACACGTCTTTGTAGGTTTCAGTTATCATCAGTCTTTTAATAATAGGCTTTTAAGGCAGACGTTGTAGAACAAATTTGACAAAAATCTCATTTGGATAAATGTGATTCAATTTGCATTAGTAGTGACTGTCTCAGTTTGCAAGGGCTCATGAGACCCACAGCTGATGTGAAGTGCCACACTGACCGGTCGAGGCAGATGGCCGCCTTCCCTGAGCCTGGTTCTGTCAGAGGTTTTTTTTCCCTCCCCGTTAAAGGGATTTTTTGGGTCCTTCCCACCGTCGCTGACCACTGCTCATAGAGAATCCAAAAAAGTGCTATGAGATGACATGCTGTGAATTGGCGCTATATAAGATTGAATTGAACTGAATTGAACATGCGGAAGTGCCACATGAGTCCCTGTGATTTTGGTGTGGGCAGGATTGTCATTGGTTTATTTGTGTGTCTACACCAAACTACTGTTTTAAACAGTATCTTTGTCATGCTATGTAAAAACCTTTACAGAATCTTGTTGAAGTCAGGACTCATGAATCATTTTCTGTTGTTAGATGATATCGAGTTTAGATTGCAGGTGGACTTGTGGCATGACTTGTCACAGTATTTTTTCACTACGGGTTAGTATAAACTTGTTTTTCTACTGAAAGCTCTGAGTTTCCTGCTAAGGGACACTCTACAAAGTCTGTATTTTTAGAGTCAGGTTACTTTTCAGAGAAATATGACTCAGATATTGTACAAGGCCTCTGTGATGGCACAGTCAGGAAGGAGCTAGTGAACACCACTATCCCACTACTCTATGGAAAATGTAGCAGTAACTTCTTTTAGTCTCTCTCTCACACGCCCAATTTAATACAACAACAATAATAATAACACAGCACAGATGTTAAGCTACATACCCAGATTTAGAAACTCACGCATGCATGCATACACACGAACTGAGAATGCACAATGCACAATATGTGGTGTTGTTTAAGTGGTGACGAGGCAGGAGTGGGAGAAAGGCTGGTGTACCTCCCACTGCCTTATGTGAGGGGAGCTTGGTGAAATGACAGCTAGCTCGTCCAGACTAATCTCACACACACATGCACAAGGAGAAGACAATCACTTTCCTTTGGACAAATGAGAAACACTGAATCATTTATTCATTATTCATTATTCATTTATAACTCATTTATTAACATTAGGAGGTGTCACCACGAGTAATGTAAGAATATTGGACCAGTTAAGAAAGAAAAGAGGGGGAACCTTAATAATAATAATTTATGAAAGAGTGGTTAGAAAGGGGGCTGCAAGGTGGTGCAGTTGGTAGCACTGTTGCTTCGCAGCAAGAAGGTTGCCGGTTCGCGTCCCGGTGGGGGCACCGGAATTCGTCTGCGTTGAGTTTGCATGTTCTCCCCGTGCAGCGTGGGTTCTCTCCGGGTTCTCCAGTTTCCTCCCACAAGGTCCAAAAACATGTTGAGGTTAATTGGTGATTCTAAATTGTCCGTAGGTGTGAATGTGAGTGTGCTTGGTTGTCTGTTTGTGTAGTCCTGCGATAGACTGGCGACCTGTCCAGGGTGTCCCCTGCCTTCACCCTGAGTCAGCTGGGACAGACTCCAGCCCCCCACGACCCTAATGAGGATTAAGCGGTGTATAGAAAATGGATGGATGGATAGATAATGGATGAATAATACTACTACTAATAATAATAATTCTTCTTCTTATAATAATAATAATAATAATAATATTGAATTATCAAAGAATACAAATGAGTCAATAAAACTGCACAAATATTAATATACCATTAAGGTATTAAGGTTTCACACTCAGTACAATCACCTGCAACCAACAGTTGTTAAGTCAACTGAATGAGCTGTCCTACAGTGTCAAAGCTGCTTAAAGTGCTCTCTCTTTGACTGGCTGTGAATGAATCAGGCTTCTGTTATGTGTGTGTGGCTCCTGAGCACTGACGTCAAAGCAGCAGTGCAGGAACATCCTAGCACCACTTCATTATAGGATTAAGAGTCTGGCTGACTATATTGGTGTATGGGTGTACTGAATGTATATAAAGGGAGGTGGTATGAGCATGTGCAGGTGTGTGTTTATGCAAACATGAGACAGAGATATGGCTCAGTCAACGCATTTGTTACTTCGTAAATCCATCAGAGCTGGACTGTTATTGCTTTGCATTTAGTTTTTAGTTGTAAAATTAAGTAGTAAATGAGCGGGCTTTCTGTGCCATTTTTTAAAACCTTTTTTAAACCTTTTTTTCTTTTTAAAAATATGTTTCAAGGTAGAAAATATCTGCAAAGCAGCCTGTTCACAGGACAGTCAAATTCTCCACTGAAGTTTAAATAATGACTAATTAAAGCCAGAAGATGGGCTGCAGTGATGTTCCCAGATTTTGAAAGCTGATAAGATGATTTTATTTTGCCGAAATGTAAGATTACATATATACCAAATGAAGATTTTGGATCAGAAATTGCGCATTTCTTGTACTAAAACACTGAAAAATACAAGCAGCAGCTGTTGGTATGTTATGAGTCTAATTGAGAACATCAATTACAAAACCACCACAACAAGCGCAGGCCAAGGTAGGGACATTGCATTTATAATGTGTGAGTTTAAGTTCTCCATGTTGGGTTGAGATGTTGCAGGTCAGTATCTCGAGTACAGATGCTCAACTCTGTGGCCAAAATGTCAGATTACACCTTGACTGCCGTCTCAGTGAGCTAAAAAAAAGTTCAAATGTTGATTCCCAGCTAAGACTGTCTGGGTTACATGGCACTGATGTCGAGGCAACCTGGCTTAGAGTGATTTAACACGACATGCTACTGCAGTCTTCAGAGATTTGCTACAAAAGGTTCAGGTCAGGCCTTAATAAAAGGCTGATGGGCATTTTCATAGGTAATAAAACACAATCAAAGCACACTCAAGTAATAAATGCCTTCAATCAGGTTATACAAGTGTATTGACATATACACATGTATTATCATTTGTGAAATACTACAAGCAGTGATACATAATAATTCTAAACTATTTTTAGAATTTAGCAACACAATAAGAAAACTTGATTTAAAAAAAAAAATGGAGATTAGTTCATTACTGACTCAAGGACAAAGCAAATTAACTAAATGTTAAAGCTGATGTTGAACATGCTGCATCTAACAAGCCATTGAATACAGCCATTGCAAATTCAAACTGATGCTGAGTAGAGTACAGGTGACCAGTTGATCACTGGATCAGCATTGCAGGTAGCCAGATATTTTGGATCAGTACAGCTCCCAGAGCTACCACAACTGAGGCTGTGGAGTGAGAGCTCACACATTCAGAATTACATTAAGTCCCATAACTATTTTTAGTATTTGTGCTCAAATCATCCATATTACAAGTATGTGATGTAAGTGTTTACATTTATAGATCTTTCGGAACTGCATGATTTTGATTCTCCTCATCTAGCATACCTCCATGAGTGATGATAATTATATTTAAAGAGGGAACACTGTCAGAAACATGAGCACTTTTCACAGAAACCTTGAAAAATAGCTTTATTTAGTTCAAACCAGCAAGATTGCAGCACTGAAATCTATACTTGGGTGCTAATGGAAACGTATGGAAGTGTCACATTTAAAAATTGAAGTAGCTTCCTAGCTCCCTCGCATCAAAAAGCCTCAAACTATTTTGTTGTGCTACAAGTTGAAGAGTATGAAACAACTCTTAGCCTTTCTTCCCTGAATTTGCTCAGTATTCTGCTAAAAAGAAGATGCCAATGTGTGTGTTACTTACCCTTTGTATAAAGGGTAATTTGCCGTGCCCTGTGCCTGGTTTAGCTCAATGCATCAGTTTTCAAAAATGACAATCTTTAAAGAGACAGTAAAAAAAATAAAAGCAGAACCAAAAAAACGTACCAACAAAAAAAACTACAGCACCACCAGCTGTGGACTAGATGGCCATACAGTGTTGCCCATACAGTTGGAATAAAATATATTTTTTACCTTTTCTCATGAAATGATTGTGACAATGCAATTTATTCTTGATAGATGAAGTGCATCTCTTCTCAAAACTTTATAATTATTACAATATATGCCCAATACATATCACAGTAAAAATTAAACCACAGTTAACTTTTGCAAACTGTGCATTAACAATCAATTAATCAGCTAAATTGGGAGTACTGAAAAATAGGATGAAGGGTTCAATTTTTCAATCTTGGTCTCTTTAACAGGAAACACATATTCGAGGGAATTTCGTGCATTAGGATGTCCAATATCACTCTTTCAAATCTCATTCAGTCACTAGTATTGAATATGGCCACCCCTGACATGGATCAATGCATTAAGACATCGTGGCATACTGTCTACAAACTTGTTGATGGTGTCAATGGGCAGGACGTCCCACTCTTCAGTCAGATCCCAAAGTCAGAATTTGTTTCACCTGATAACTGGGACTCAGTATGTAATCATTGCACCTGATCAAAAGGGATTACTGATGTGTGTAAATAGGAATAAATAAGAGGAATGTGTCTGAAATCAAGAAATATTCTAACTCTATGGGCAACAGTGTATACATATATAGATTATATATATATATATATGTATGTATGTATATATATGTGTGTGTGTGTGTGTGTGTGTGCGCGCGCGTGTGTAACAATAGAGATAGAAAATAACAGAGACATGAGAAAATAATACTAACATTAAATTACTTGTTGTTAACATTTGTTGCTTGTTGTTTTTCTTTCTAAATGAACTGTCAGTATTGATAATTGATGCCTTTCATCCTGAACAGGATGGGGTTAAAGAATACTCCAATATATGTTGTTTTTTTCAATATGTAATGTACAGATTTTGAAAGCAGTATTTATTGTTATCCTAATTTAGATGCATAATTAATAAAATGTGAAGACTGACCTTAACTACACAACAGAGGTATATGTTCTATATTAGAATCAAAGGGGTTTTATAGCACTACAATAAATGTTGGCTCCTACAACAAATGATTACCACCAGTTTTTAAACCTTTAAGAGAAGAAGCTTTATTGTCATCGTACAAGAAACACAACAGAATTTTGTTTGACATCATCTTTGCAGCAGCTAATATGGTCACAAGAAAAAAAAAAAAGCTAAAAGATGATAGAAATAATAAAACACTAATAAAATCTAAAATCTAAAATAAACGCTCTATTCGAAGTGCAAAAGAGCATTTGTTAGGATGAGTCCGTAAACTGGGAGTGTCATGGTTCCTGCAGCAGTCTCTTCACAGCCATGGGGAAAAAGCTCTGTTTTAGTCTGTTGGTGTGGGCTGTCATGACTGTCAGAGTCTGCCAGAGGAGAGGCTGGTAAATAGTGTCCTGGGTGGGCGGGGTCATCGGATCTTTGTGGCTCGTCGGATGAGACGACGCAAGTACATCTCTTTATGTAACCGACTAGGATTTTTATTTTTGTGATTTCACACCATACATAAGTTTTCACTTCGTCTTGAGCGGGGAAGGTAACTGAACATTTTTAAATGTGGCAAATGTAAACAACAGAAGCAAAACAGACCTCTAACTAAAGTGTTACACTTTAAGTCTGAGGAACCTACTTCTCAGACTTCTCATTGGCTTGCAGACCTGAGGTTCTTCTATGTGAAGTGTGCAATTAAATGCTTTCTTTCCGTAACATTTTGTATCTGCTGAGTGGAGGAGTATGTGCAGATAATGGTCTCCGATTTGTGAGTAAGTGAGAGGACTGCAAGAAGCAGTGGAATAGTGAAGCACAATAAAACTACTTCTCTGAACACTTGATGATGAAATGCAAACAACAAATAAAAAAAGCTGTATCTATTATAGTTGGAAATATCTAAGCCTGTCTGAGCACTGGTCTTTGTAATTATTCTAACTTTATTTTTATTTCTTTGCTGTTTTTGTGCAGGGGGTCTTTTTCAGAGGTTTTCATGGTGAGAGAGAAGAAAACAGGGGAACTGTATGCCCTGAAATGTCTGAAGAAAAAACACCTTGCTTATAGCAACCTGGAAAATGAAATCAAAGTGCTGAGGAGGTAAAACACGCACACTTGCACACACATTCATGCTACCGATTTCCATTAGATTTTAGGCAGCAGAAAGTAGTGCAACAGCAGTTCTACTCCACATAAAATCAGTGTTGACTTTCTCCTTCAATGTCTGTTATTTTACATGTAGTGACTTCTTAACGTATCATAAAAACAGCCGACTCCATGTTCCCAAGGCAGCATCTGCAACATTATAAACAGGCAATATTCAGCACAAAGGACAGCAAAGACCCCTTATTCTGTTTTTAATATTTCAGAATAAACCATGAGAATGTGGTAGGACTGGAGGACTTCTATGAGAGCCGGACACACTACTACCTGGTCATGCAACTGTAAGTGGACTCATTAGTATCACATTGCCCCCAAACTAGCACCTTAAAATAATGCAGTAATGGCAAAGGGTCTCATACTGACTGCAATAAAAGTTTACAATAACATGTGGTCATTGTATAATGTAAATGTGCTTCTTCCTTTAGTAATATGTTTTCTCCCCTTTAATTTACTCTCAAGTTATGGTAAAGTTAAAAACATCCCAGAAAAATAGCAGTTACAGGATCCCATACATAATCAAAAACAATTATAAGAAGTTAAAAATCATCTTTGTGTGTGTGTGTGTGTGTGTGTGTGTGTGTGCAGGGTGTCAGGCGGGGAGCTGTTTGATCGCATTATAGACAAGGGAGTTTATACAGAGAAGGATGCTAGCAAAGTGATCAACCAGGTGCTGCAGGCCGTCAGCTACCTGCACAAAAACAGCATTGTGCACAGGGACCTTAAGGTAAGACTCACAGTCACACTATGGAAAATGCCCAAAGTTGCCCATGTTCACACATTCGTTAACCTGTTCATGCTTTTATTACATTTTAGCGTCAAATTATTGTCAAGAAAACATGTATCGTTGCCAAAATGACACCATCATAAAATTTGACCTTTTTACAGCTTACAATTGGTCAACATGGCATCAGCTAGTGCACATATCCTGCGTGACATCTACTCCCAATGCATCTGAATGAGTCAAAAAAATGTACAAATGGATATTATCCAGGTAGGAGTTGTATGATAACTGTTCACACCTCTCTCTCTTTCTTTTTCTCTCTCTCCTGCTCTTTGAGCAGCCTGAGAATCTGCTGTACTACAACACAGATGAAAATGCTAAGATCATGGTGAGCGACTTTGGTCTGTCGAAGACGTTGGAGCATGGTGTAATGTCTACAGCCTGTGGTACACCTGGATATGTTGGTGAGTTAAAGGTCAAGGGCATGCACATATTGTGAAAGTTACTTTAAGAGGAATCATTAAGTTCCAATATACAGTGTGTATGCTAGTCCAGTATTTATATCAGAGCAAATATGAGCTACTATATGGTATATACCTATAAGTGAGTATACCCCGGTGTAATATCAAATGTAAAAGTTTAAAATTCAAAGTTGTATCACCTTATTGGCCCTCTAAATTGAGCAGTAGATATTTATTTTCATTTAGATACACTCTACTAAAAATAAAGGCCCCACAAAAGAAAAAGTCAAAACATCTTTAATTACCGTCTTTCAGTTTTTTAAAATTACTTTAAACGTTCACCTTAATTTTTGATGACCGATTCAAGCCACCTCAGCATGGAGGGTATCGATGTAGCACAAATTTCTGAAGAGATATTCTGTCCTTCTTCAGAGACTATTTATAGCAACAAGCTTAGCCAGGTCATAGTTTTCACTTTGTTCTACTTTAGAAAGTGTTATGTGACTTTAGCAGTGTACTTTGCATCGCTATCGTGCTGGGATATTCCTCCTTTGCCAAGCTTCTGCAGACTGAGAAGCATCTTGTCAGCTAATATTTTGATATATCCACAGGCATCCATGGTGCTGAACAGCATTTCCACTCATGCAACCATATATCATCACACTTTCACCTTTGTGCTTTACTGGTTGGACTATGCAATAACATTTCATCTGGTAATTTCGTGCTGAAGTGCAGGCACTTTTCTTTGATGTTGTCCATAGAGGATAACATAATGCACCGGCCTTCACGATGTCTGAGCTGACACAGAGACTGATTTGCATTGACAACCCCTGTGCCAAGTATGAAGCACAATTACTGTATCTTTTCTATCTTAGTGAAGACTTATAATCAGAATTCCTTTGGCAACGCTTTTTCATGTGGAGCCATGATGCTGACACATCCCGAAGGACCAAGGTTGAGGAAGTCCTGCTGATCATTTTTTAACCATGGCTCTGCAATGAGGTTATTTGGAAATCACATGTGTACTCCATTTTGTTTCAGTGGTCACAGATTTTTTAACTTACGTGTCACTTTTAGTGTCACAGGTGTATTTTTGCGTTAGGTTTACTACTTTGGGGGGCAGTATTCCTATATAGTCTTTCTGCTATATAGTGTTTGCTTTCATTATTCACAAGAAGAAATAATCTGTTGTTCTACTTTGGAATAATTCAGTTATCATTTGACTCCTCAGTGATATTACACAGGACAGTTTTCTCACTTCTGGTGTATATGCAAGTGTATCAAATGCCACACAAATCAAATCACATGTTCATGCAGACATTACCACAAGTTGAATTAGATTTTTGATTATTTATATACAAACTCAAAAAGAATTAGAAGTAATATTGCAATTACAGTTTATAGCTTAAATCGCCAATGAAACATGAGTTACACATTTGTTTAAGTATTTTCTACCCATGCAGAAACTAAGGGTTTCAAGACTAAATGATCTTGTTATTTCCAGAACATGTTTAACTTTATGTAGTTAGAGTAATCTTGAATTGTCATTTTCACAGTGTAATCATGCAATTACCGTTCTGCAGCTGGACATCAATGGTAGAATTATTTAAATTTTAATTGTGTTTGTCCTTTCTCTGCAATGTCCTTCTACAGCACCTGAAGTTTTGGCTCAGAAACCCTACAGCAAAACAGTGGACTGCTGGTCCATTGGCGTTATCACTTACATTCTGTAAGTATAGTTCTGTTCTCTAACAATAACATAGCACTTTATATATTATATACTGATCATTGCTGGAGAACTGAGACAATCCATTAGTTCTGGAGACTGTCAGTAATATCCTAAATATCAGAAACATATGTCTAATGCATCATTTGTGGATACAAAGAAATACAGTAAATACTATAGCACTTTCTGAGAAATCCTCATTTTTCCATCAGCTGTGGAATGGTCCGTTAGCCTCAGGGTTTAAAGGAAGCTTTACACCAAGTTTGCGAAACTAGGTTTATCGCACATTTATAACTCTTTGTTGCTATAATCCGAAGCATAATACTTGATCATTGCTGCTGACCCGAAGCTGATCCAAAATATTGACTGATAAAAGGTGTATGTAAAGGGTTTGCTGAGTTAACTTTGTTTGCTGCAGGCTCTCTGGCTACCCTCCGTTCTTTGAAGAGAATGAAACTCGTCTGTTTTCAAAGATTATGAGGGCTGAGTACGCCTTTCATTCACCCTTCTGGGATGACATCTCTGAGTCAGGTATGAAAACAATAGAAAGCTCTTCACCACTCAGCCCTCAACAATGACCCTCTTTTACTGTTTGATTCATTTCTCTTCAGTGCAAATGACTTGGACTTGTGTCAGTTAAATTTCACAAATTAGGACTGGAAATTGTTGAGCAACTGTAGCGATCTTTGCAATAAGTTTAATTTTTGAGTGACTAGTTTTCTATTTGTTCTGTGACTTTGTAACTTAATTCATTTGTTTTTGAAAGATACATCAAAGCATATTGCACTGTTGAACTGTTTAAATGGGTCCGTTGAAAGCAAGAACTTTAGGTCAGCATGGGGCTGCACGGTGTCTCGGTGGTTAGCACCATCGCCTCACAGCTAGATTTGCGTTTGCGTCCTGGTTAGGACGCCTGCATGTTCTCTCTGTGCAGCGTGGGTTCTCTCTGGGTTCTCTGGCTTCCTCCCACAGTCCAAAAACATGCTGAGATGAATTGGTGATTCTAAATTGTCTGTTGGTGTGAATGTGAGTGGGCTTGTTTGTCTTTCTGTGTAGCCCTGGGATAAACTGGCGACCTGTCCAGTGAGGATTAAGGGATGTATAGATAATGGATGTATGGATAGGTCAGCATTATATTTCTATACTGTTATTTGGCAGTTTTATTATAAGTCGTGAAACTTGCTCCGTGACTTGGTTCTAAAGACGTACATCGGCTCTAGATGTTTCACAAAATCTGACCAAAATAGTGTCTATACTTAGTAGCTAAGTATAAAGTAGGATTTGTTCATATAGTCCAAGAGATTAACCAGAAATAGACCAGCATACTGACATCATCTCCAGTTACTAGTTTGACCTGCTGGATTAGGTCAGATGTAATTACTACATATACTAAATGGTCAAGGGCAGTTCTCACTTGCCTATGGCATTAAATTATTTGGCATTAACTGCATTACGTTACAGACACTGTTGCATTACTAAACCCCACCAGATTGTAGGAAGATATAGCATATAGAAATGGCCAAGGCCTGAGACATTAGGATGGCACAAAGAAATATTTTTTTAAATGCCATATTGAGAGTGAAGAAGCAATACAATTATATATAATATATCAAAAGAAGGCAACAGGTACGTTGTGGGTTTGGTCAGTCGGAGCAGTGCATTGTGGTAGATGACTTTTAGCTTGAAACTGAAATAACGTGTTACACAAAACAGTATTGAAGGGTTGAGAATAGCCTGTTTAACATTAAAATTATATAAATTTTTAAATTGTTTTTACTGTTCATCCTAAATTGTGAAGTTCTTTACTACATTAAACAATTTATACAGAGTTTCTTATTTTTAAACTATGGACTGTCATAGTGGCCTTGCTCCGGTTAAATAAAAATAGACTGTCCTTGAATGCTTGGATTATCATCCCGCATTTGACTCCTGTTTTAGAATGCCTTAGAGAAAAACATTTTTTCTTGAGCTGGATGTTTCTCTTTTGCTCTCATTTAAGTTATTATTTTTTATTTTTTTTGCTTTCTTTTAAAATGTCTAAACTTATTTGTAATACATTTTTTATTACTGGTTTTTGGATGCTTGTTTCATGTTTTGTAATGGGGCTGCATTCACCTTCAGGACAATATTATTAAGCATAACAGTAGCAACTAAGACACTGACTGAGCCCATACTAATACTAGGTAGAGCCTTCTTTGCTCTCAACACCCTCTGTTCATGGTGTCAGGGATTATACAAAACATTGGAAACTTTCATCTGAGATTCGGCTCCATGTTGACATGATAGTATTACACAGTTTCTGTAGACTGGTTGGCAGCACATTCATGCTGTAGATCTCCTATTCTACCACATCTCAAAGTGTTCTACTGGATTCAGACCTGCTGACTGGGGAGGCCACTGAACTCACTCTCATGTTCATGAAACCAGTTTGAGACAACAATTACTTTGTACCAGTGTTGGTGGTAAATATAGCAGTTCTTGGCTGATATGAGAGGAACCTGAAGTGGTTAGTCCTCTAACCTCTCTCATCAACAAGCTGTTTCAATCTGCAGACCTGCTGCTCACTGCGTAGTTTTTCATTTTCATTATTTTGCATCTGCCTCCAACAGTACACTCAGTGAGATCACATTTGTCCCCTCATTCGGATTTTTGGTGCAAACATAAACTGAAGCGCCTGACATGTATCTGCAGGTATCAGTGCTACACTGCTGCCATACGATTGGCTGATTGAATAATTGCATGAATAAGCAGGTGCATAGGTTTTCCTAATAGAGGGCTTGATGAGTTTATATTTTGAGGGTTTTGTTAATAGTTTGTGTATCTGTAAGACGGAACATGTGTAATGTTACACTCGGGTATCAATAATACAGCATTACCAGCATTGTATGGTTGCATCAGATCAGTGAAGTGAGCCTGTTACTGGTGGGTAACAGATGTCCATGTCATGTGTCAACAGCCAAAGACTTCATCAGGAATATGATGGAGAAGAACCCCACAAAGCGCTTCACCACTGAACAGGCGCTCAGACATCCCTGGTTAGTCCTTCTCTCTGGCACACAACCATACACGCCTGCACGTGCATTTTTTGGTCTTATTTTTTTGTATTTTTTCAACACTTTGTCTTTTACTGAATTGCAGGATTGCTGAAGATACAGCTAAAGACTTAGACATTTATCAATCTGTCTGTGAACAGATGGAGAGAAACTTTGCCAAATCTAAATGGAAGGTAAGTGAGACAACTGTTGGCACCAACATAAGCTGAGCGAACCGCTCAAAATACAAACACAAAAAGTTTTATGGCCATAAATTAGAAAATATGAGCAAAATACTGAGAATATTGGCAAATTGCAAAAAAAGTGGATTATGCCACAGAATTGTTTAAGAGTCTTTCATGCACAATTTAGTATCATTCATTCCAATTGACCACAGCTGCTGTTCTTTATAAAGGAAAAAAACAAACGAATTTTCCAGTTTGCTTTAAAGCCTGCAGTAGAGCATGTTTACTACTAAAAAGATGATGACTGGGTCAATCAAAGTTACAGGGACTTAAGCTAAAGTGGTGCACAAAGGAGCACAAGGTTCAAATACAGTGTCAAATCTCTTTATGTTTTGTCAAACTCTGTATGGACAGTTTAAGTAGCACTGTCATTGCATTAGATATTTTGACATTTAATTATATCATTAGCAAGTTTCCAAACTGTACCAGTTAACTCAAAGGCAGCATCAGAGTAATCATCTTTCTTTGTGTGTTCATCTCCAACAGCAAGCCTTCAATGCAACCTCAGTAATCCACCACATGAAGAAACTGCATTTATCCCAAAATGAGACCACCCCGTCCCCCACCTCCATGCCCAACATTATAGTACATACGTCCTCTCCGAATGACTTGGAGCCACCCTGCCATAATGAGGATGACCCCCTTGACCCCAATGGGAATCCTGTCCATGCTGCCAGTCATCTTTCCTGCTACAAGTCTGAGTCGAGCAGAGGTGTCTGTCAACCACTGAAAGCAAGTCATAGCGAACCTGGCAACCCCCTTACCATTGATGAGTCAAGAGAAGTTCATAACTTCCATTTGGAGAGTGATGCTGCATCCGAAAGGTGAGAACTGCTGCTTTGTTCCAACTGCTGGAAAAGTTTACATGTCATATGGTCCAGAAAACTAAGAAAAGCATGATACAACACTAGTAATTTAGATATGGAGCGACAGTGCTTCGTCTAGGATTTTTTTTTCAGCAGCGGGGGCAGTTATATAATTCCTGTTTCTGCTGATTTTTTAATTTAGGAATTTAATTTCACTAAAAACATTTAATTGATATATATTGTTGTGCAACTGTTGCAAAACAATTCCCCTGTGGGAATCATTAAAGTTTTTTTTTTTTAGTCTTGTTCATTCTCAAGATATACATGCAGCCAGAGAAAATCACCTGTTTTGTCATCAGCATGTTATTGTTCATCTTCATGTTATTCTAATGGATCCTGTTTGTGTGATGTGCTGCAGCCTGGACGCTGTGGCTCAGAGGACGGACCAGCCGCTTCAGTCTGGAGTGTGTTCTGTCATGTGATGGACTAACTATCCTGAGATGAATTCTATGCAGGTAAACAGGCCTTTCTCCATTTAAATTTAAAAGCAGACGATGCAAATTCCTGTCTTATACTTGCCTGTAACTGATAACACGTTTTTAAAAACCTTTCAAAACTTTTTTCCAGGTTGTTTTTTGAGTGGATTGTGCTCAGTGGCCTCCCTCTCTGTCCCAACCGCTGCTCAGTTTTCTCATTTCTGTTGTGGTACTCTGCTGAAGAAAAACCACCCTCATGTACAGACGTACATGGAGGACACAAAAAAAGTGGAATGACTATGAACGTCGCAGGAAAACTGACAAAAGCAGAAATTCATCATTTCAAGTTCATACACTTATATTTGATGACATTTATTTTCTCAAGAATATTATTTATTGTGTATTACTGTCAACAACATGTAACTAACTTATTGAAATGTATTTGTTTTGATTAGACTTTGGTGTTATGTAATGTGTGAGCTGATATCTGTTTCTTTTTTTTTTTGTTCTATTTTGACTGACATGGCTGAACTTTGAATTCTGATCACTTCAGAGTAATGCCATTTGTATAGGTTGTATATCTTTATAAAGATACGTATTTAATTTTGAAGTCTGCCACTATAAAAAGATGTGGGAATGTACCTTTAACTGTAGGAAGAGTTTTGGTCGTGTATTTTTATTTTGCCAATCATGTCTATGCTGATGGATTTTAGTCCAATTTCCACTTTTCAGAAAGATGAGAGATTCAAGATGTACTTTTTCTTCATGAGATTAAACTTTGTTTTGAGGCGGAGTGATGGACATACAGCGGTGAGGTCTTGCTCTGTGTTTTCTCTGATATGTCCATAAACTGTTCTCTTGTTAAACAACTGAACTGATCAAGTGCCACAAGCTGTGTTAAGATGCTGTCAACACTAGTGATATCACTGATGATTCTGAAATCACAAATTTAGTGAAATATATGCTTTTTTTTTGTATTATTTTCTCAATAAATATGCAGTAACTAGTCTTCCTGCTTCTTCTTGTGTTGATTAAGCAGCTGTAGTGCCATGCTGGTCTCTCCCATGAAGACTGAAAACACAAATGAAAGTACTAACAGGCTTTATTTAAATACTGCACAAACATCAGATGCAAAACAGAAAATAAATAATGTAACATTCACCTTTTCTCCAGTTCTGAAAACTACACTAAAAACTGTAGTGCAATGTTCATTGAGGAATGTGTTGCTGCTGACAGATAAGAGTTTGTGTTGGCTATTTGCATAGCTGTCAGAAAGCGAGAAGCTGAGGCATTTTTCAAGATAAAATGTGAAATGTTCAAAATGGCACAATACTTATAGTGGCATGTATATTACTGATAAAGTCGTAGTGATTTCTAAAGGAAACCAAAAATACATCACTGGCCCATTTTCACATTGTACTGTAAACTTTTTAGATTTTTTCCTGTGAGGCTGTTCATTCAGGTCTTTCAAGTTGCATTTACTGAATCCTCTTGACTTAAAAACCTGCTCATACATTGCTTGTTCGAGTCTGATGAATTCCAACTGTTCATGGGGAGCTGTGATTTGTGAAATTTGACTGTTGACATAATCAACCCCCCAAAATGACCATATTCACACGTTTCACTCCTTTTGAGTTCAGTTCCGCTACCAGCCATTGTCCTCACATAGTGTTGTACTGTGACAATTATTGAATTACCCTCTAAAGACACTTTTCACAAGCAATGCAGTCGGTGATGTGATACTATAAGAGAGATTGTTATAGACTGTAGTAGATGATGTTACACTGTCAAGAGAAGTTCTGTGCCAATAAAATGACAATAATATGTTGTATCAGTTACAAACAAAACTGACAAACTGTCAGTAAACTAGCAGCCAGGACGATGATATTATTCATTTTGAATTAATCTTATTTAAATCATATGTAAACATCCTGCAGATTGAGACATCATGATTTCAAATAAATGTTTGTTCCCCAAGGAAAGACAGACTGTCTCCACTTCAGGCGTAATACATCAGGCCTACATCACTAATGAAATTTGACTTGTACCAAAGAGAAATTTCTGAGAAGGAAAATTGACAGTGACAGTCTGTGAGGTGTTGTAGCGACATCTGCACATGTAGTCTGGCATGATGACTCTCAGCCCTGGCAGGTGCTGAGATCATGGGCTTTCTTCCGAAGTTTTGCTAAAAGGTCTTTAAGTTTGGCATCAAGTCCTTCAAGCTTTGTTGACTTCTGTAGGATTTCGTCCTGCAGCCCTCTGAGGGAATCTGCTTTTCCTGGAGAAAGATAAAAGGACATGAAGTGAATTGAAGTGCTGTAGTCTAACTTATACAGAGCTTGCACAAAAGACACCATTGTCATCTCCTCTTTCTGAGCATTTGGACTTTTTGTTGACCTTTGTCAATTTGTGCTTTGCAACTGGGACACATGATGTTTTTTTTTTTTTTTTTTTAGGGCTTTTAACATAAAAAAAACTATCTTATTAACTCTGAATGTTTCTGTTTAGGAACAAAGAGAAAATAATTGAATTGTCCCTACAGTTTCCCTACTAGATGCTGATTTCTGGCAGTACATGGAAGACTAATCTGAGCTATATTCATCTTGAATCAGGAAGTACCCTGAAAGTTACAAGACTGAAAATCCTCCTTTTCTCACAGGACTTAATATAATCGTAATGGATCATTTGAGAATGCTTAGTAAAGGAAAAACAGACTTGTAGTGGTGTGATTTTGCTGGATTACCTTCTAGGGCGTTCATCATGTTTTCAGTGGTGTTAGCCAGAGCTCCGGCATCCTGCTTCAGCTTTGCCAGTCGATCCCCCAGTGGCCCTGGCTCTACACCTGTCCCAGGTGGACCTTCAGCTTTAAGACGATCTAGCTGCTCCTCTAAAGCCAACAGGTCCTACAAACACATATTAGTATTAATACATATATGAAGGCATTCAGCTAACGACATACAGTAGGGCGCAAAGGTTTTAGGCACTTGCCAACAGAAAAGTGTCAGATTGCTCCTAAATTCATTCTGCAGCAGGACAGTGAGCACAGCCAGAATGTGGCAAGCCCTTTTTAACATAACAGTCTGCAATGCTTTCTTACAAACAGGCAAATTATGTTTAGAATAAGTCAAATTTTGACTTAAAGATCTGCCAGTAAGCATTGGCCACTGAAGGAAAATAAAATAAACATCTGTAATTCTATTTTGCCTATGAAAATGTGAATTATCTGAAATTACATTTGGGGGAGTCGAAACTCAAATTGAAGGTCATTCACATGAGTCCAAGCAAATGTTAAAAAGGCTTGCCTTGGCTCGAGTCAAAAAACTACTTCAGCTTCACAAAAAACAAGTCGTGACCCGATGATCTGAGCCGAACATAGTCCTGATCTCAACATCATGGAGTCGGTCTGGGATTAAATGAAGAGACAGAAGAACTGCGGCAGCCTCTCCAAGATGCTAAAAATGTTCCCACATCAAATCCTTTTGCAGGTAATTTCCAAAGACTCAACCAACATACAAACATTTTTACTTGAAATGTACCACAAAAAGACCATCGCTGTTTTGTTTAAGAATTAGAAACATAACATGACTTTGATATTGACAGCTTCATATCTTTATAGCACATGTAGTACATACAGCCATTACTCCAAGCCCTGGTTCTAAACAAACCACTTGTGAAGGCAACTGCTCATATTTCAACCTGCTACATCAGGTCTCTCACCTCCTTTGCAGCATCTGCTTCATCTTCTGCTTTGTCTGCATTATCCTGTGCATCCTTGGTCTGTTGGTCTGCTTTGTTCAGCACATCTTTGAGCTCGTCCAATTGGGGTTTCATTGGTTTTACTAGTTTTGAGACATCATCCAAAGCCTTCTCTGCTGGTTTAAGTTGCTCTTTGGCCTGGACGGATAGAACAACACAAACACTAGCACTTTAATTTGAATAAAAATGCCATAGTGTCATCTGCTGTTTCATATATCCATGCTTCCTACCTTAGTCAGGTTTTTTCCCAGGTTGTCTATGAGATCCATGCTGTCCTGCAGGTTTTCCTCCAGGTTAGAGAGGAGGCCATCGGTTGAGTCGAAGCCTGCAATCAGCCCGTCTACGTCAGCCTTCACTCCCAGTGCCTTGTCCCTGGGAATGTGCAACAAGATTAACATCCTTACATCCTACTCTTGAATCAATATTTTCCTTTAGAATGTGAATATTCTGTATAAACTGCACTGACACCTGCCAAGATCTGATCCTACCATCCAATCCTACCATGTGTTTTCTCTTATACAGATAACTTATATGGAGATTGCCTGTTGGGTGGCTTGATAATACAGTGGTTAGCACTGATTCCTCCCTGGACCTTTGAAAGTCCTGGGTTCAAATCTTGGCCTGGGAGGAGTTTGCATGTTCTCTCTGTGCCTGTGTGAGTTTTCCTCCCACAGTCCAACAACATGCTGAGATTAAATGGTGATTCTAAATTGTTCGTAGGTGTGAATGTGAGTGTGCTTGGTTGTCTCTCTGTTGCCCTGCGATAGACTGGCGACCTGTTTCACAGTGCAGTCATACCAGCTGTCGATTAAGGATAACGAGCGTACTTGCATGAAACATGGAGCATTTTGATTTGATTTCATTTTATTTTAACCTTGGAATGAACTACACCGATATCCTGCGATCTCTTGCGATGAAACACCGTGTGACAACTATGTCATTCCCACACATTAATAACGCGTGGCCACGATTTACTAATGCGTGGGAACGAGTTATTTTTATTTCTTATCAATGTCACCAGACGGGCTCCGTACAAAAAAATAAAAAATAAATAAAACAAAAAAATCCTTACAAAAAGCATGTAGAGCTAGAATCGTTTTTAACAAACTAGAATAATCTTTACCAGATACTATACTGCAAGAAGTTGTGAAAAAGTGTTGAGGGTACAGGACAAAAGGCTTTGATTAGAAGAGTGGTCAATGTTTGTAGGTTATTAAAAGAAAAAAAAAAGTTGTGGTATGTACAGATGCTGTAAATGTGCAAAGCTGTTTGGTGTTTATTGTGTGAGGGCCTACCTGGCATCCTGGGCCTCCTCCAGCAGTTTCCTGGCAGTGTCCAGCTGCGGCTTGGTATCCTTCAGCACAGCTGTGATATCTGGTGGATAGGCTGGCAGATTCTTCAACTCCTCCAGCTTCCTCTTCAAATCATCTATGTGGAGGGGCAGTTTGGCTTTCAGGATCTCATTGCTCACCTCCTGGATGTGCGTCAGGTTGGAAGACGGATCTGGACACATAGAAATAGGAACAGTTGAACCATAACCAAGGAGTGCCTGACCATTACATTACATAAATTCATGCAAAGGTATTCCAGACGCCAAATGAAACTTCATGAAACTGTCTGTACCTGATAGGAAGTCTTTTAGTGCTTTCACAACTTCGCGTGTGTCTTTTAACTCATCCTGTAGCTCATCTCTGGCCTGCTTCGTCTTCTTGGACAACTTCTCTGCAGACTGTTTCACCTGATTGGCTGTCTCCTGTGTTTTCTCGAGCTGTGATGAAATGAAATTGAACAAAGGATTTAAAACCTGTAAACTGTTGAAAAACAATCTTTTAAAATCTTCAAGAAATGTAAAATTGATTGTGCTTTAGCAACAGACATTCAGTGATGTGCCTGTGGAGCTGACAGAGGGAATGTGTACCTTCTCTGCGGCCTCAGTGATCTTCCCACTGAGCTTGTCTAGTCGGTCCTTCACATCCTTTGCATCAGTGTTTGCCCTTTCGCTCAGAGGCAGAGCACCTATACACTTTTCCCCCTTCTTACAAGGTGGGGTTCCCTTTGGTGGACACAAGTCTCCACCCTCACACTGGAGAGGGGTGCAGGGCTTTGAGCGGACACTACCACACACCTGAAATAGAGAGTGACAAATACTGTGAGTGCAGAACAATCTAAGAATTCCCCAAAACAAAAATGATGCCTAATTTTCCATCCTGTGCTTTGCTTTGCAAAAAACTATCCACCTATACCAATTAATTTGTCTTGCAGTGGGTGGAGCCCAAAAACTGCAATGTTGAATGTTTGAATGCTATAGTTTTCAGTTTAAACACAGTTACCAAACACAATGCCATATAATGTGCAGTGAACATTTGAGTCCACAGAAGATGAGCCCAAATGTTGTGACTGTCTGAACTTTGCTCTCGTTCTACAGTTGGTCATGCCAAACCACTTGTATCAACACATAAAAATCGATCAGGGAGATTCCTGTAAAATTGGAACATTTATGCTCTCCTGATGATGAACCCCTTCCACCTTGATAGGTTATGAACCCTCCCGACTGCAGCCTTCACAAGAAACCAGTTTGCACACAAGGTTAAAAGATTTTGGTAAAAGTTAAGTTCATGCTAAAAGGCACAAATTAATTGTCGTAGTACTACCCAAAATATGCAAACATTTCACTTAATTCTTTTATGTGTTTTTTCTTTAAAGAAAGAAAATAAATGTAGCATAGATGCATTTTTTTTTATTATTTTTTTCTTTTCTTTTTTTTTTCTCTTCCAAATAACAGAACAGTTACATTTAGACTAAATTCAAATAACAACTGATCCCTTTATATGCTACAAATCAAAAGATGTTTCAAGGTGAAACACTAATTAGAGTTTTCATTATGTCACAAAACAGAACACAAACTGGTCCTGTGTTACTAAAGTGAGGTCAGCTCTGGTAGGTACCTCTTTGGCAACAGGAGTAAGGTCAGGTTGGGAGGCCATGCTTTGGTTTAGTTCGTCCAGATCTCTTGTGTTTGCTGGCTGTACTTCGTTCTGAATGTCCTTTGTCTCCTCCCTGACATTAGCCGACTCCTTTACTGTGTCTTTGCTGTCGTTTACTTTCTTGTCAGCATCAGTTGACTTATTGTAAGCATCCTTGATGGCCGTAAATGCTCCTGCATTAGACAGAAAAAGACACCACAAGTATATTTTAGATGGTCACTGTATCACATATCACAAACATGTTGATATTTGTGCCTTATTTTAGATAGAAAGATTAGAAGATTATGTTAATAAGAACTACTATAGGTTGCTGTTACAAAAATGTATACATCAAAACACCTGCAATCAGAGCATCAGTAAACCTGCTTGAGTACTGCAGTGACTAGAATGCTTTCATTCCTTACCTTCATTGTTGGGCGTGATGGAGTTGTCTATACCATCTTTCTTAGCATTGTACACCGGAATGAGGCTGTCCAGCAGAGCCTCCAGTTTATCCAGCTCTGAGTCAAGACCTGGAGTTCTTGTCAGGGGTGAGAAGTCATTATCAACCTGATTCATCTGGTCCCTGCAAAACAAGAGAGTTGTTGTTTCAGGCATCAGGGAAAAAAAAGAATCTTTGGTAAAGAAATGCCACACATGAATATAAAAAAACACACCACCAACAACAATGGAAAGCCTTTTAAAGACTGACTAGTGTTTTTCTTTTTTATCTTAAAGCAGTTTCCTAAATTCAAATGAAAGTTTCTTTTTCTGAAGATGTCAACTTTTTGCTCACCGGAGCTTCTCCAGCAGGGAAAGAGCATCATCAATCTCTCCAGCAGTTTTTGGTGGAAGGGAGATGGAGTCCTGGATCTGCTTCAGGCTGGCCTCTAGGGTCCAAATGCGGGGCCCGAAGTTTGCAAGATCACCACCAGCTCCAGTAGGAAGTCTGGGAGGAAGTCTCTCCAGAGCTAAGCTTAGGTTCTGACGCTGGCCATCGAGAGTAAAGAAGCAGGAGGGACACAACTCACAGGCAGGGAATGAGTCACAGTGTTTAGGACTGCAGGAGTCACAGCGAGTCCCAGTGACGCCCGGCCGACAGAGACACACCCCCGTCTGCTTGTCACAAAACTCTGGAAGGGTTCCATCAGTATCACACCGACACGCTGAGGAGATAGAGAAGAGAAGATCAGAGGACAAGAATTTCCCCATAATATTCTGTCTGAAAGGCTTTAAGCCTCCTTAATGCAGAATTTTAAGAATTTTAAGAAGACCTTCAGTCATACACGGTTTGTAGGTAGCACTGTTGTAAAATGAAAATGATGAATCTGTTTGGGCCTAAACTTTAGACAACAGTTATTTAAGTTAAAGGACAGAAGCAACAACAACACTGACTAACTGAGACAACCCACTGTGAAGATGATGGTAAATATGTGCACATTCCAGGAATCAAAATTCGGGGCTAAGTAATAACAGCACACTGCTAATCATTGAGAAATAGGTCTCATACTACTTGTGCCAGCTATTTTTGGCATGTATGGTCCATCCTATAGCTTAGTTTTACAATGCAACTGTTGCTTTTTTTCTGAATGAATTAACATTTTTATAATTTTATGACAACAGAGTAGGTTTCCAGTGCTAAACTTTTTTCTAATTTGACAAGATTATTGCTATTGATCTCTAATCATTTTAGTTAAACTTAGTGAGAGGTTAGCTAAGACAATAAAAAAAATTCAAAATAGTAATTGGGTGATCCAAATACAAAATTCCATCTATGTGGGTCTGTGTTAAAGGCATTGACCACATCAAACTGTAATCTGAGTAGTAGCATCCAAATACATTTTACATATTTCTATTCATCTTTTTCAGGTGAGTGCAAATTTTAAAAGGGACATGAATAAAGCAGCCAATATGTGAAACGACAGGAGCAAACTTCCGACACGTTGCCATGGCAGTATTAGACATTACTGTGACTGCAGTTTGTATGAGCATGTTAAATGACGCTTCATTAACCTGAGCATGGTGCATGAAGCCAGATAACAAACCAAGTGTCATTACTGAAGTGTAGATCCTACATGAACCAAAAGCAAACTTTTTAAATGGCTGGTACAGCAATACAGACTGTAAATAGACGAATCAGTGATGGCAGACTCACGTTGGCAGCCTATGAGAGGGTCTCCATAAGTGTTGTCTGGGCACTCGGTACATGTTCGGCCTCCAAAGCCTGGTCTGCACTGACACTGACCTGTCAGCTGGAAAAAAGCAAAAGAAAAAAAGTGGATGAATTACTGTTAGTTAAAGTGCCAGCTACTGTTAACTAGCCTGACTGTAATCACTGCAGTGTGTTTTTGATCACTGTTTTGTTTTTTTAAATTTTAGCCTCTGTTTTACATTTTAGAGGTTACAGTCAGTTATATGTCAAAATAGTATTTAGATTCATTTGATTGTGGTCTGTTTTGACCAAATGCAGTTTTGAATTGTAGCAAAGTAGAAAGAACAACTTCCAGTGTTATGCTCGTCAAAACATGTTCAAGGTTTGTGTCTGGACTGGAAGCAAAGAGACATATTTGATATCAGTCTTGTCATGTGGCTCTGGGAAAATACCAGTATAACTGTGTTTGTAGCACACTGGTCTAGTCTGATGTGGCTTAAAGGTCATACCTGGTCACAGGTGTCACTCTTTGACCTGGTGGGGTCACAGCTGCAGGGTTCACAGCGTTCTGACAGGGATGGCTTCCAGTACCCTTTTACACACGTGTCACAGGTCAGGCCGTGGAAGTGGGAACGGCAGGGACACTGACCAGTCACCGGGTCACACACATCTGACAGCGAGCCATCTGGAGAACAGGAACACCCTGGACAGCAGGAGGAAGTCAGAGTTAGAAGAAGTACTGAACATTCCACACATCACGTCCAAAGACATTAAATTCAATTAAAATCAATTCAATTTTGTATATATAGCACCAATTCACAACACATGTCATCTCACAGCACTTCACATAGTGAGGTGAAGACTTTACGAATTTTAAACAAAGAATCCAACAATCCAAAGTTGCCTTTGGATTCCCTTTGAGTAAGCAGTCGGCAACAGTGGGAAGCAACCAACAAAATTACAAGTACGTTACAATTGTTGTTAACTGTTAGATTTTACAGAATTCATTTAAAAAACATCAGCATCAGTAACTATCTTAAAGACACATACTGGTCAACATAATGAGGAAAATTTAGTCAAATGTGCATTTTTACCAAAGCTGGAGGGATCAGTGACCTATTTAATATTCAGGAGCATGAAGTGAATGTGTTACCCTCTGCCAGTGGAAGAACAAGCAGTCAGATCCTCGGTAAACAATGCTAATCATACACTCTAACAACACTCTTTTATATGTAAAAATCCTGCACTGACAATATCTCAGTACAGGAAAATGTACTCATATCGGAAATGTATAAAACGGAAAAACACTAAAGGTGCAAAACTATAAGACTATTTGGCTGAGTCAAAGTGTTGTCTATAGGACTATTCATGAGACTATTCACTAGTCATTATGAATTGAGTCAGTTGAATATCACTGATAAAGTAATGCATGAATTCAAAAAAAGAAAACTCACACTTGAAAATATAGAAAACGTGTGTTTTTGCATGAAAATAAATGATTGACAATTAGTTTTCTGTCAGTCAAGAATGACAATCTGAATAAATGTTTCAGCAGTGTATTTATTGTTTTTACTAACAAAGCACGACACTTTATAAGCTCCTTATATACTTTGGATGCAAACATTTTTACTTTGTAAAGAACCTAGGAGTTAAAGTTGTCAGATAAATGTAGCTAAGTGAGTGCAACATTTCAGCTTTAATTATAGTGCACAACAGTTAGACATAATCTAAAAAATAAAATACACGTGAAGTACAAGTATCTCCTATTTGTACTTAATTACACAACTAAAGCTAAACTGTGATGTGTTCTGTGTAGGTGCTGGTTTACTCACTGGTGCAGCCGAGCGGGTTGGAGGTGCTCAGGCCGTAGTATCCTCTCTTGCAGCGGTCACAGCGAGGGCCTTCCACATTGACTTTGCACTGACAGGAGCCTGTGCTGTCATCACAACGGCCTCCATTCACTGTTCCCTCAGCGCTGCAGATACAGCCTGCAACAGCACAACACAAACATGAGCTGCTCATCATCAATTTTCGATTTAGTTTGCCACAACTTACTGACAGATTTTTGATGTGGCGTGTGAAGACTGAAAGTTCAAAAGGATTTCTGTTTCACTTACGTATGCAGGCATCAGGACGGTCCATTTGGCTGCGGGGGTTTGGCTGGTAACCGGGGGCACATTGGTCACACTTGGGCCCTGTGGTGTGGTGCATACAACCCTCACACACACCTCCACTCCTCCGCCCACTGGCCTCGTACACTGCCTGGTCGAAGCGACAGCGCTGGGCATGGCTGTTACACTCACAGCCTGAGGACCATACAAAGGGGTTGGCAAACAGAATGTGCAATAAGAATTTTAAATGAATTGATGAACACAAGAAAAGGAGCAAAGAAAAACATGTTAAGTAATGTAGCAGACTGTAAACACTGTGGGTCAGTTCTGGCCCATACTAATGGCCCACTCTGCTAGACATGATAGAAGCTTGATTTAATTTTATGTGTGTACCGGCATCTTATAAAGAGGAATTAGAAGCAGATTTATGGTTGACAATATACTGCATCTGACCTATTCTGGGAAGGTGAAAGGTAATAAGACAGTAATCAAACAAACAACAACTTGTCTTAAAAGTTACTAGTATTTTTCCAAGAGAAGTTCGGTTCTCACTTCTCAGCGACACTTCTTGTAATGTGGGTCTTGGTTGTGATTTTGAAAGCACTATTTCACAGATTTTGGTTCACAGAGAAGTGTATTCTGGTGTGTGTATTGCTGAGTCTCTCACGCTTTAGGGGTTACTGTCAGAAAACTGGTTTGTCTTACTACAGTAAGACAATATTTTTCTACAAATTATGGTTTGATACTGTGCCAAAGAAGATCTTTTTTTGTTTGTTTTATTGGCCCTGTATTGTCCAAACCTGAAAGTCGTCTCATAGTTTTTAGAAAATATCAGCTATTTTTCAGCTAAAACACTAGAGTATTTCCAAGGAAGTCCTGCACAGTTTTGTTAATTTACAATAAAGAAAATTGAGAAAGGGTTGCAACTGTTAAGTACCAACTTGATATTTTGGAGTTTTTAGGAAACAACTAGGAAATTAGGTCAGTGAAAAATATTTTTAAAAATAGCTTCCTGGATTGACAAAATCTCATATTGTAAGTTCTCTCTTCCATACGCTCTCTTGCGCTTTGTCAGGATGCACTCAGCTGAGCTGCTGTTTCTGCTGCATAGTGGTTCAGTTGCATTCTTACAAGTAATTTTCGGCCGCAGTGGAAGTTGCACAGTTTTGTGGCTCCAACTGGTCTGATGGTCAACAAATATCTCAGCAGTTACAATTACAAAACGATTTCTACCTGATTTTCACAGACTGGACCTGTAAAACAGAGAATCACTGTGGCTCATTTTCTCTCTGATCACAACTCAGGAATGTCTGTTTGTCTTTCCAGGAAGCTGATGTATATTGACATTAGCAGTTGTTTTTTTTCCCCACTTAATAACTGTAATCAGCACCCAGTAAGTTAGCTGGGAAAGACAACCCCAACATCACTGTGTCCTAAATAAACCTTGAAATGGTTTCTAAATTTCTTTATAAACACCTAACTTACCTGTTCAGAATAAGTTCAAGCATTGCTGCGACATATCTATAAATGTAGATGCTGTACTATTCCTCTACAGTCCTATTTTTATACAGTACATCCATCCATTACACTACTTTATCCTCTGTAGGGGCTTGAGCTATGTTCCTTACATTTAAAGCTAATTTCTAAATGTTATTATATTCATTTAGTTTAACAGGAGGATCATACTAATAGTCTACATCATCCTCTTGTGTTAAAGCTGCAACATAAAAATATTAATTGTTTCTGTCTGAGCGTGAGCTCCAATCATCATAAAATTTCCCTCCTTTGGATATAATTTTCAGGTTTTCAATTCAGACTTTGAGGCTTCATTAGAACCAGAAATAAACCAGTTATACACTGCTGAACCTCTACCACTGCAGTTTTCAGGAGATTTTCTTTTTTTCACAAGACAAAAATGGGAGTCTTTCCAATGATTTTTGTTGTTCACTTAATGCTCTATCATTGTAGTATTAAAGTTTAAAGAGACATAGAACAGGTGTAGGTGGTTTTACGTTTGCAGGTGTGGGTGTTGCCCTCCTCGGCAGGTCTCCATGGTAGATCGTTGTAAAGATCAGCACAACGCTCACAGTTCACACCTGCTGTGTTATGCTGGCAGTCACACTGAGGGTTCACCTTAAAGGAAACGCACGAAAAATCAAAAGGTGATTGTCTTAGGCTGTGATCAGCCTGGTATCAGAGACATGGGCATTTCCATTAAGCTGCCATATTGCAGCAAGCATTTTAAAATGAAATAATGTGCATCAAGTTTTGTCAGTATGCATAAAGTCAAAAGTTGAAATGAAATCAGCAGCACGTTTAGTTCACAAATACTAACAAGTATGTTAAAATTAGAAAACATATGTAGATGATTTAGACATGATTTACAACTTCTCTTTGGGCTTGTTGACCTAAGTATACCAGTTATGGAACTAAAATTCAATGTCCCACGAAGCAGTGATGTTTTTTTTCTTTTAATGTCTGGTATTAGTAGCAGAGGCAGGGCCGCAAACAAAAGTTTACATCCACTTGTAAAGTCCATGTATATCCTGGCAATCTTGAGTTTCTGATGACGAATGTATCACCTCCAAAACTGAAAGTCTGATCTGGTCATCAGTAAGCTTTAATAAAGTTCTCTGCATATCATACCTGTACGGTAGGAGACAATTGGTTGTTGTATTCTTGTGGCAGGCATCGGTTGGCGTGTCCATGGCACATACAGCTACCTATCACTCTCATCTCCTTTAGGGCGTAAAACCTACTGAGACTTCTGCCAGGTAGACGTGGCACATCGCCCAGCTCTGTCAGCCTTACCCTCAGGCCCGTTAGCCCAGACACACCTGTGGATGGAACAGCTGTCAGCCAGAGAACTATAAACTGTACTCCCTCTCAGTTACAACCCAGGGAGTCATTCATGACATAAGAAAACTCTTACCTTCAATTTTTTGGCTGTTGGGAGCTGGGACATAAGCATACTGACGCAAAGGACTGAACTCAATCTGTGAAAGAACAATGTACATGTTTTTAAAATTTATACATAATGTATACAAAATGATACATAAAGCTGACAAATCTGACAATGCGCTTCAAATAACTGAACTGCAGATAGTTTGAGGAATGTCCTGCAAGTAGTATTTTTACAGTCTCACTCAACCAAAGTTCACACAAGGTACAGCCGTCATTCTTACTGTATGATCTTGGTAGGGGTTTGTTCCAGTAGGGGGCAGTGTGTAGCAGTATGTCTGGTCCAGGGTGAGAGGAGTTCTTGTGGGGACACCAGGAAACGCCTGTTCACAATCTGTAGCCAAGTAGAGAACAGGCTGCCACGTTCTGTCATTATCCAGCTTCCTCTCAATGACCAAAGCACTGGGACGAGGACCCTGCAGAGAAAAGTAACACACCCCACATTTACACCTGACATCAGAGGTAAAGGTTTTTCCAACGTAGTTACCAACAAAATATGTTGTGTCTCTATCTGTGCATTATGTTTGTGTGTTTACAAATACACAATATTTGTTTGCAATATCATTATTAATTTACACTTTTACATTTGATTTTTTTGTCCATAAAATTTAAAACCACATGAATCTTCAGATGCAGTAATTTGGGATGAAACGAAGAACGCAATGACAGTATCTGTGCAGGTCACACGGTGTTTTTAGCGACAGCAGACTGTATCATACCTTGAACATGAGAATCAGGTTGTCAAGCTGGAACAGGTTATTGAGGTCCAGCTGGAGAGTAACTGGATTCTCTCCTACAGGACAAACATTAAAAAGTAGATCAGTTTGTTTCATTTCTTGCTGCCAAATGTCACTGTTAGGGTCAGTTAACAGTTATATAACACAACCTTACTAAAGACAGCTCAGAATATGCATCAACGAACAAAAAATACAGGCAAATGCCAACAACCTCAAGATTATATGTTAAGTTTTAGTTTTTTGCATGACTACTAGTGAAGTTCTTGCTTTCCCTCCCACCTTTCCTGGACTGCCACCATCTGTCTGATCCAGAGGTGGACAGGACATTTTGGAGAGTGTGGGCCAGCTGACTGTTTGGGTTCCTGGAGTCACATGGGCAGCACTTCATGGCTCTCTGTAGAGAAAAAAAAGAGAAGAAAAGTAATGCAATGTTTACTTGCAGGGTCACAGAGTAATGTTTGGGGCATATACAGTATGGGTGGAGTTGTGTCATTAAATGGAAAGTTTTTGCCTCTAAACTGACCCATGTACCCAAGACCAACTTCCAAACTGGTCTCTTTGTCATGAGCATGTGCCGCGAAACAGGTCACACAACTTCCATAGGGACAGAAAATCTATATGTATCAGATGGGCAGCCTGATCTGGCCGTTCTAGCTTTGCATTGTGGTAAACAGTGTTTTAATCGAGTTTGCCACAAACTGTGTCCTAGTGGAAGCCGAAGAGGGAAAATGTGCTGCTCTAATTTAAATCTGACCCTGTATGTGTAAAATCAGTTTTGTATTACCTGGGGGGCACAGGGAAAACAAAGTCACGTCCACAAAAACACTCTACCTCACCAAATTTTAATTAACTGAAACAAATCAAACACAATTCAATCTACAGTAAACTCTAGATACCTAATACAGATTAGTTTTTGGTGAGTGTCCACTCACCCCTAAATCAAAATCTACATATACAATCAAACTTTAGGAGCGTTCTTTGTTAATTAGTGGCCAAACTGTTACTTGGACATTTACCCCACACCAGTGCTCACATCACTGACAGCTGGACTATAGCTGTCACCAGTGAATATTGCTTCCCTCCCCTAATGCTGGGTACTTTGAACATGACTGTTGTCACTCTGGCACACAGACCATGGCTGCTTTCCCTGTAGGGTAAAGTTCGATTTGGTTGCTGACTGTTACAACATAAAGGCCTAAATAATGCTTCCTTTTCTGAACCCATAACTTTTAAAAGTTAATTATTTTCCAGTCTCCTTTCAAACCCCAAATTTTTACATGCATGTTTTTTTTTTCCCATTGGACCCCCTGAAGTCCATGGCCCCTGTTTGTAAAACCACCTTGCTGTTCTAAATGCATACTCTTTCTGACATCCCAAACAGAAATACCCGAGACGACACCAGATCGGTTGTTGTCATAGAAAATGGAGACTGAACACAACCTAGCATCAGTGTACCTGTCATTTACAGTAGGTTTGCATTCATAATACACAATCTATAAATATGTCAATAAATGAAAACTTAATCTGCCTAATGTGCATTTTATAACTGTGACATTAACAGTTAGCCTCTACATCTCTAAACAGTTACCACAAATATGTAGAAACATTTATTACAAGGTCTGGTCCATGGTGGTATGACATAGACTGTAATGGTGAATGGAAGCTGGACAAAGTGGTCGCAGTGGGATAGGAGAGAAAACACACTTCCATCCACTCATCAGTTTTATCCTGTCGAGGGCTGCATGGCAGTTGGGCCTATCCCAGCTGTTATTGGATGAGAGTACATTCTGGAGAAGTTGACGTTCAATTGCAAGGCTCACATGAAGAAACCGAGAACCATGCATTTCTTTGGATTGTGGGGGGAATTCTCTAGAGAATTTGGACAAAACCCACGCAGCACAAAGGAGAACAGGCAAACTCCACACAGAAAGCTGATGAGGAAGTTCAAAGCCAGGACCCTCTTACTGTCAGTGAGAGTTCTCCCACAGTCCCACTCATAATGAAGGCACTACCAAACAGACACAGACAAGTCTCCTTCCTGTCTGAACTCATAACTGGTTAAGTACAGTGAAACCAGCTGCTATGGCAGCTGCTTCACAAAATGCTGATTCAGTGTGTGAGATGGAGACTGTGGTGGCATTTCTCCACACTGAGAAACACAGCAGCATCGGTCGTTTATTGTATAAAACCCTACCAGACAAGTACACTTTAACACTAAGTGTAAAATGATTACAGATCTCAGCATTTTTGTGCTGCTGAAGCCTTAAAAGTCATTATATCCACATCTTTAATATACTGTGAATACCAGTTTTTAAATCTCCCCCAAAACAAATCCAGCAATGGATTTCTGGTTCAGCATTTAGTCTGCATGATGACATAAAATTAAAACTTGACTAGGCGTAGTGTTTTAACACAGTGGTGGAGGCGCCAGCACTTACAGCTGGTAGTTGGCTGGTTTAAATCACCTACTTGGCCACGGCCCTACTGTGTGGAGTTTGCCTGTACTCCCTGTACCTGTGTGAGTTTTCTCTGGGTTCTCTGTTTTGTCTCTTTTTTGGAGACTGAAATAAACTTAAAATACAAATGTAAGGAGGATTAGAGACAGTCTGTTACCATAACTTGAGGAGAGCAGTCCCAGATCCTTCAAAAAGATGGTGTATACAAAACTGTTTATAATCAATTGATCAATAATTAACAGAGAAATAAAATGACTTTTCAGGGCTGAAACATTGCGGCTTTTTTGTCTGCTACATCTTGAGGCCTGTATCTCAGCGTGAGGACACTACTTTTGCTCTGCTTTGTGAACTGGTTTTTACCAACTTGGCTGTCAGTTGGTCTGTTTAAATCTGTCAGAACTCTAAGACCACTTTTACTTTACTATGGACTGCTGAGTGGGAGAGGACTGCACTGAACTATCAGCAACTGCAATTTAAAAACAACTTTATTCCCATATCAGAAAGAATCTGCGTTACACATTGTTCAGAGAACTTGTCAGCAGTCCCATATATCTCTAGTGTTATATTACTATCAAAACTATTTTGAAATACTATCAATAATACTATCTTCACTCTATGCCAGTGGCAACTAACCACTAGATTAAACAACAACTACAGACTTTCTGCTAAAAAAGGATGTTATTGTAACTTATTTATTATACTCAATTATTTGTTGCAAAATCTGACACCTGCCGCAGTATGTATGATGCAGCATATCCAACAAGACAGGACTGGTTTCCTGTGCCGACTGTGTGTGTTTGTGTGTGTGATGAATGCGTCAGCTCTGAGCTACAGCTGAATGTTCCTGTGTTCCTGCCCCTCCCTGTCTGGATGAGGTGTGGCTCAGGTAAAAAAAAAAAAAAAAGAGAAAGCACTGATCAAAAGAAGAGAGTCCACACCTAACACAACTATTCATTCCTCAAGGCTAATCCACCACAGACACACCCTGCCATCCATGAACATTATGCAACATCAACACAAACATCTTCTGTTCGCTGCTGCTCTGTCTTTAAAGTTTCTTTTAGGTTTGAAACTTTCATTTTAACATCAACACCAAATAAACAAGACAACTGTAAAAGTTGAAATTATAATGGAGAAACAACTAACAGCAGATTTCAAAGTCCTGTTGAAATCCTGGGTAAATGTTGTTATGCAAAACTACATTCTTTTTCTAGTATTGTAGCACTACTTTTACTTGGGAGAAGGAAGCTGGAGTGTCAAGTTAATTTTACATGTTGCATCTTTTGTTACTTTGGACTGTAGTTTATGAACTGATGGGCACTTTGTGACCTGTGCTGCCCTCTCGCTCTGTATTGCACAACTCCTCTTGTCATTATACCATTAAAAAGCTAAAATAGTACTCATTAAATATCTTATAAAACATCTATTTTAAAATGTCTAAATGCCTTAGGAATTCTTACAGCACAGCAGAGACACAATACAAAACAACTGCTAGATTAGGCAGGCTTAACCTATTCACTATAGTTTCAATGCCGTTTCACTTGTTTTGGTGGGTTTTCTAGAAACTAACTTCAAAATGATTCCTGATTAAAGAAAATAGTTGATCTGTATTACAAAAAACGATCTGAGGTAGAGGTCCTTTCCCTCCTATTTTAAGCAAGAATAAATGTTACAACATTACAGGTTTGACTGTTCTGGGCAGTGCAAGTCCTATTTCAAAACCAGCCTTTACATCCAGTAATGGATTGTTTGTGCTGTGCAAGCAGACGGGCTGGTGAGTGACTTGTCAGACGTCGGTCAAAGATTACAGTTGCAAAATGATGCTCTGGCACTAAAATCAGACAGTTTCACAAACGGACAGCAGGGAATCTGACCAAAACCACCACCAGCAGCAGCTCCATCCTGCCTGTCTGTCTGTTCACCATGACCTCTGCACTGCTCGCCTTGCTAGAGCAAACTCCACGTGGAGACCCATACGTGTCCTTTGTGAACACAGCTGGCTGAGGCAGTGTCTGATATGGGTGCTTAGAAGGCCAATATTAATGTTTTAGAACTGGTACTCCTGCTACTCCAAACTTTAGTTTCCTTCTTTTGTTTTATCTCAAAAACAATAGCTTGAATTTTGGAATGACTTTCATATTTTTAACTGAAATGAGCTGAACTTGACAGAGCCTTGAAGGTCTCATCTCTGTGTTTTTTTTTTCTTTTTTTTTTTTAAAGCCTGATACTAATATCGAGCAAAAGAATGACACAAACTTGTGTCTGATGTGCCTTTAATCCACAGAGATGAAATGTCCTTTAAACGCAGGACTGTGCTCCTACCTGTTGGTAGGGTGTGCAGAAGATCTCGGAGCCGGTAAGACCGCAGGTGGAGGATGCTTGGAGCTGGTCAACCCTTCCCAGGAGCAGGTCATCGCTGGGTGGGTAACATGCCCCCCTTGAGCAGTCCTCCTGGGCCTGTGATGCTGCTGCTATAGCTGTCAGGAGAAAGGCAGTACAAACAGAAATGCAAGGTCACAGTGGGCCATAATGGGTTCCGTGTCCCAGAGATGAAGTGTTTTGGTGCGAAATCTGCATATCCATCCCAGAACAAAAGCAAAAGACCTTGTGAAGATGCTGCTGAAGCTGGTAAGAGATAGACATTATCCACAGTGAAAGGAGTCCTGTACCAACATGGACTGAAAGGTTACTCAGAGAGGAAGAAGCCATTCCTCCAAAAGCAACATGAAAACGCCAGATTTACAGTTTGCAAATGCACACAGGGACAAAGACCTTAACTTTTGGAGACATGTTCTGTGGTCTGATGAAACTAAATTTGAACTATTTGGCCATAATGACCATCGTTACATTTGGAGGAAAAAGGAGGAAGCTTGCAATCCTGAGAACACCATTACAACTGTGAAGTACGGGGGTGGCAGCATCATGCTGTGGGGATGTTTTGCTGCAGGAGGGACTGGTGCACTTCACAAATAGATGGCATCCTGAGGAAAGAGCATTATGTGGAAATATTGAAGCAACATCTCAAGACCTCAGCCAGGAAGTTAAAGACTGGGTGCAAATGGGTCTTCCATATGGACATTGACCCGAAACATACCGCCAAATTAGTTATAAGGAGGCATAAGGACAACAAAGTTAGTGTTCTGGAGTGGCCATCACAAAGTCCTAATCTGAATCCTGTAGAACATTTGTGGGCAGAGCTGAAAAGGCATGTGGTACAAGGCAGCCAACAAACCTGATTCAGTTACACCAGTTCTGTCAGGAGGAATGTGTCAGAATTCCAGCAAACTATTGTGAGAAGCTTGTGGAAGGAAACTCAAAATGTTTGACCCAAGTCAAACTGCATGAAGGCAATGCTACCAAATACTAAGGAAATGTATGTAAGCATCAGAGGGGTGAAATCTGTGAGCAGCTTAAACAAGTAATTAATAATAATTTCTCTTTTAACATTTATAAGGATTTGAGGATAGTTTTGCATGTCACATAGAATCTGATGTTTGAACAAGACCTCAGATTAAAACAAAGTCATTGTGTTCATATTTATCATTTCTAGTTTAACAGTCCTCAGTTTGTCTGCATTACACATTGTTGTGGCCCATGGTTTTAGAAATGCTCATTATCCTATTAGTCTCTGGCAATAAAAGCCCATTTGTCTCTAGTCATTCTCCACTACTGTAGCTACACGCCATAAATAACTGTAATGACGATAGGTTATGTAGTAATATAACTAGATTGAAAAGATTAGTTGATTATTTATTTAGTCACTTAATCAACAGAAATTTAATTGGCAACTGTTTGGATAATTGTTGAATTTGTATTGCTAAATGCCATACATCTGCTGATTCCAATTCTAAAAGATTTAACTAATGTCATGGGGAACACTGGTCTTTTGTTGTTCAAAATGAAACCATAGACAGTATATAACAGAAGTGAATACATGTCTCAACTGCTAGTTTTTCATTTGCCATTGAAGCAAATGCCAAACTTCTCCACTTAGATATAATGTGATATTTTAAATAATTTGACAATTATGTGATATTGCGCAGAGGTGCACTCTTCTGCTGTATAAGGTACATATAGTACATACATTGTTGTATTCTTGAGCTTTGTTCTTTACTATAAAAATAAACTCTATTATTTGAATTTGGTTAAAGTAAACCTTACCCACTTATTAGGAGCAGCAGAGACCGTAGAGTCCGTTAATATCTCAGTCTGACTAGCTATGGGCTGTCTCTGTGTTTTTCTATAAACAATTTGAAAACTGACACTGACAGTGTGTTGGCATTTAAGGAAAAATTGAAATCCTTTCAAGAAAGAAATTAGATTTCCCCGAGTCCTTGTTTGGGTGGAACCGCCTGCAGAGCAGAACCACACTAATTGAATCCTTTCATTGTTAACAGCTCTGTAACCATGTGCTATCAAAAACTGAGATTGTGGCAATTTTCATGACAACCAGTCACTGCAGCAGTTCATGTGAGGCTACTTCCTCCTTTCTGTTAGAAAATGGAGTGTAACTGTGATCAGCTGCTGCAGTGTTTTGATGGATGAAAAGCTTCAAGCAGTTAGCTGACAGTGATTTAAGAATGTAAAAATCTGGTGTGGAAAGTTCAAGTTGGAAACTAGCAGGACACACTTGATGAAGAAGAAAGGCAAGAAAATAAAACACTAAAGCAAAAGAAAAAAAACAAGGGAAATCTTACCAGTTAGAAGTAGAAGTAATCTCATGTTGTGTTCCTCCTCTAAGACAGTCTGAGAAAACACAGCAGTTTTCAGAGAAAAAAAAATCAAAGCTGGTTAATTGGATTTCTTGCGGGAACACACACCTCCGTTATTTGCTTTATGAAAATGTGGACTGTTGCCTGGCTGCTGCTTTATAAACACTGTCTCACCTGGCTGATGTGATACAGTATGTGTCAGAGTCCCACCCTTCACCACCACTCCCTGCACTCATGAATCAACACACACACCAGACGTAGACACAGAGTCAACACAAAGACACCAAGGAGCCAAGAAAATAACGCAAGACCAAAAAGGAAATTCTGTTACGAATCCTAATGAAAACTATAATTATGTTAAAAAAAAGAAAGATTTTATTTACTTGTTGAAGCAGCTAAAAATATTAATTGTTGATAGATTTGTTTTGTGTTCTTAAAGACGTTTGCACAGTTTTTTGTCCAGATTTCCAGCGTCCATGAGGATGAATGCTAAAACCGTCAACATGTGACTTGTAGATCCTGCATCAGGTCAACGTTTGAATTTGAATACTTAGATTACTTTTAGTTTCTCCCCAAAACCCACAAAACAAAAATTTTCTTCAGTCTCCGCTGTGGTTTGTGCTCCAAATATGAGCATGGCTAAACAGGATAAACTCAGATGATACACATCACAAACATTATAGCAGGTTGAAAACTTCAATAGTTTGGATCGACATAGCTCTGGCACACAACTTCACTTTATTTAGTAGGGTTATTGTAACCCAGTGTAAGTATGCCTAACTATTTTTTAGATAATTTTCCTCAATAAAAAAGTGATCATTTTAAACTTAAGTTAGATATTACAAACTCAGATTTTACCTTAACCATTTCAGCCCTAGTCTATTTTTTTATTTATTTTTTACATCTTCACCTGAAAACGCATTCAGTCAGTAACAGCTCCACAAAATAACAACCTTGGGCTCCATGGATCAGAGACAATTTTGCCAAATTGGGGGTTTTTGGAACACAATACATCTTCATGTCCCCAGATGGATATTTTAAAAACCCCAGTGAATATTGACTTTTTTACTTCTGCTTATTTAAAACTGTAAGTCAGAGATCCCATAACAACAAGTTACTGACGCTGATGGTATTGAACTTGTTCTACCAAATCTGATGCACCAGAGGTTAAATGTATGAATGCTGCATCAAGTTGTAACCATACCATTGTTGTCTGGCTAAATATCCCAACAGCATCATAAAGAGATGACACCAACACAGGGTGGTGTATATACATTGGCAGTAGGTAAAGGTAACCCTGTTTTGAACTACACTAGCCTGACTCACTGGATGGAGATTGCAGGTATAAACCTCCCACTGGTTGATCGTCTCAGTCGGCACTCTCTCCGCCTTCCATTATCTGCACGTTACAGTTTTGTTCACCACAGGAAACAACACCTACAACCTGAAAATGAAACAAGAACTGAAAGTTTTGCTGAGGATTGGGATTGAACAGTGATGCTGCTCTGCTGTTTTTTGTGCTGGATAATTAAATTTAATCACAGTGTTCAACTCTTTGTGTGCAAATGTTTCACACAAACAATTCCCCTGTCAATAATTTGAGGGGATCCTTTATTTAATCCTGCCCACAATGACTGTGACTGATTAACAGAAATACAAACAAGCTATAACAGAATAAACTATGCTGACCCACATTTGGTCAGTTTTATCCCTCAGGTTTTTAGTGTGCCCTAAATGGTGACAGTCTCACAGAGACACTACATGACTGTAGACTTTTAGTTTGCAAAATAAACCGCTACAATAGTGTCTGTGAATTTGTTTAGAGCTTTAAAAGGCATAAAAGCTGGATATGTTGTGAAAACTACATAGACCAAAAGTGTGTGTGTACGTTATATTTACTTGGAAATGAACACATTTCCATAGATGTCTCTGTAAGATAGTCCAACCACAAAACTATCTAAACATCTCAAACTTAATAAATGCTAATGCAATATTTTTAAAAGTAAGAACAAGAAACTTTTCAGTAAAACCAATATAACTACATTCAAAACAAGGTCATAATCATTATCATTACCTGGTAACAAACAATCTAAAAGCTGAATGAAATATTAACAGAAATTCTAATAGAAACTGAAAAAAAATACAAATTACTTAAATGACTTTGTGTTCTACACAAATAATTCCAGTAACCCTGTTTTTAAAGTTTATATTAATAAACTGACAAGAGTTAATTAAAAGGATTTTGCAGACAAAAGTCTGTCGTTTAAGATTCAATGTAATCCAATGATGGTATACAACCAAAGGGGCAGTAGTCAACTCTTAAATCACTTCTTAAATCATTTTGTCACAGTGGCATGGTCCATTAATTTCTTTTGTGCTATCTGCCAAATGTGTCTAAGTTTGTACATGGAGCATGTTTTATAGCATCTGTTCACTTAAGTGAACACAGTCTATGTCTTGGTGAGATTCTTTTTTGCAGAAAATGACAGAAGCTGGAAGAATGAAACTGCTGAATTCCCTAAATGCCAGAATGCTCCACTAGCATGCCTCAACAAAGAGTAAACCTGCCATATTCTCCACATATGTCCAAAGATGTGATGCTGGAGTACTGATCTGCAATCATTGTGTTACTTCTTTATCAAGACAATGTATGTATTACAATTTTTTGTGTTTTTTTTATTCCATCTGGAAAGTACCACAGTGCTCTGGAGAGGAAACACTGTCACACAGAAGAAGTAACTCCCCAGAACAATACATGCCCTGCAGGCAGTGTTTCAACTTTGCCAGGCTGTGTGTCAGCCCGCTGCTGATCATCACCTACGTGTAAAGAAATAGTAGCCCAAGGGCCAGCTGAACACACACATTATGTTTTTGCCACAGACACACTGACTAAGACCAAGAACAGGGTGTGTCTTCTGACTCAATGCAGACACACACACACACACACACGCACACGCTACTGTACACACAGAACTTTAGACAAGTATTGTCTCGCCTTCAGCCGCTCTGGATAGTAGTTGTGATTTCTGTCTTGATAACAGCCTGGTGTTTTCCTGGAGCCGGGTTTATTTGTTGGTTATTGGTATCATAAGGTGTTAGACATCACTGTAGAGCAGACCAACTGGGAACACCTGAGACAGTGAAGACAGGAAGTTATGCATGACTACAACACAATCAGACAATACACACACACACACACACACACACACACACACACACACATTTATCATGTCTACAATCTAAAGCATGTCTGGGAAAGATTCCTTACAATGCCAGTTTTGTATAACTTTTAATCAAAACTCAACCATATTGGAGTTTGTTATCGACGCAATCATTAACTGTTGAACAAGAATCAAGTGTGTATTGTGTTGCATGGAACTGGAAACGGTAAAACATAATCACAATGACTTCTCACATTTTGTTTGCTGAGGTAAAAAAAAAAAAAAAAATCAGTTTAATATTAAAAGGAGGAGCTGTTCATGACTCTGCCATACCCAGATCGTTGAACAAGCATGATTTCAGTGGCACACGACTGAGGAAGTTGCTGCTGCTGTGGAAAATCCTCAAACATTTGTCTACCTGTCTTAATCTCCCAGGATGGAAAATTTACAGTCACTCATACCTGCCTCTCTTTTCCTGGATGGGTGTAGCCCAAAGTCGATAAGGAACAGCCTGCCTACATGTGGCAGCACAAAGGAGCACGTTGATGCCTTGTGCTGTCTCTGAATAGTTTGAATTGACTGTATAACACCTGAACGTTCTTTGATTTAAATACATTTATTCTAAGTTATTTTAAGCTAGTTTGACAGTGATTGGGTTGGAAGTTAAATGACCTATGTTGGACCATTATTTTGAATTTAGGAATTGCACTGCAATTTTGTCGTGCTTTATTCTTTTCTTGCGTCTGACCCTGCATGTGCTCATCTGTCCTAAATGACATGCCACGAAGTTGACAAATATCTTCAACCAGTGTGTCCCAGGTTCCTAAGTATTCTTCAGTCACTCCTCTAAAAAGAAAAGAAACAACTGATGAAAGTAAAGATGACTACTGTTTTAGTGTAAAAAGGACACAGCGTGTCAACATCCATCCATCCATTATCTATACACCGCTTAATCCTCACTAGGGTCGCGGGGGGCTGGAGTCTATCCCAGCTGACTTAGGGTGAAGGCAGGGGACACCCTGGACAGGTCACCAGTCTATCACAGGGCTACACTTAGAGACANTCACCAATTAACCTCAACATGTTTTTGGACTGTGGGAGGAAGCCGGAGAACCTGGAGAGAACCCACGCTGCACGGGGAGAACATGCAAACTCCACGCGAGGATGGGAACTGGCGACCTTCTTGCTGCGAGGCAACGGTGCTAACCACTGTCCACCTTGCATTTCGCGTACCAACATGAGACTGTTATTCCAAAGGTTTAGTATGCTGGAGGCAGCATCATGATTAGGGGCTGCTTTGCTGCCTCTGGTTCTAGCCAGATCACCCTCATCTAAAGAAAAATAAATTCAAATGTTTATCAAGGTATCCTCCAAGATAAAGTGGATGAATGTCCAGCTGGAGCTCAGTAGAAGTTGGGTGATGCAGTAGGACAATCACACTATACATAAAAAATAAATCCACTATGGAATGACATCAAAAAAATCCTGCTTTTGTAGATGCCCAGTCCAGACCTCAACTCAGCGGAGATGCTGTGGAATAAGAGACACTCACACTAGACATCGTTATCTAGCTGAGCTGAAGCAGTCCTGTGAGGAAGAATAGTTTTGAATTCTTTGTGAATGCTGTACAGGTCTAATGTGCAGCTAAAAGAAACACGGTTTGAGGCTGTTGCTGCCTGTTATTAAATCCAAGGTTCATGTACTTTTTCCTCCAGCACTTGGGATGTTTAATTTGCATGTTTAGTAAAGACTCTAAATATTGTTGAACCTGGCACCACAGGGCAAGCATTAAATAAATCAGAGGACATAGAAGGAAGGTAAATAAATGTTAATATTTATTATTTACAGTGTATATCATAAAATCACTATCCTGTTCATCCAAAAGCGGGTCTGATCATCTATAACATTAATGCCTATTGCACATGAGACCAATAAACCAGGGCTGAAATCACTGCATGCTTAAAACACCACTACATATTTAATAGCACCGCAG